CACCGACTAATGACTAATTCAGTTCCATCTGCAGCTAGATGTAGGATTTTTTTTTTTTTTGGTTGAAGCTTCAATGCATTTAAGCTTTTATTTATAACAAACTTGTATTCTTTATTTAAAAAAAACACATTTAAAAACAAAAGCTAATGAATGAATGAAAGGTGCATAACAAATAGATAACCTTTAAAAAAAAAGCTATTCTTTATTATTATCTAGAACATGCCTGTACACAAGTAGGGATGTAACGATTCACTTAACTGATTCCGTTCACTTCTTGATTTCACAACTATTTGATTATGGAACTAATCAAATGTTTTGTTTTTTACTTTAATAATATTTTTTAATTAATTACAATGAAATGGTCCATGTGCAGAGAGCTAGCCGGCTGCTAAGCAGGGCTGAGCCCGGTCAGTGCTTGGATGGGAGGCCACATGGGAAAGCTAGGTTGCTGTTGGATGTGGTGTTAGTGAGGCCAGCAGGGGGCACTCAACCTAATGCCCCAGTATATTGATGGGAACTCTATACTGTTTAGTGAGTGCCATCTTTTGAATGAGATGTTAAACCGAGGTCCCGACTTTCTGTGGTTGTTAAAAATCACTGGCACAGAATGGAACTGTTAAGCAAACAAAACTCTTTGGCCGAAAAGTCAAAATCCAGCTATATACTTATTTCACATGGCTGCCATTTTAAAACACGAAAGCTAGGCTGTGGTGGGAAGAAACCCAGAAGTATAGTATCAGCACTATAAACATTGCAGCAACATGCTGTAGACTACAAACCTCCAGCTGTTGCCATGATTTCAAAATGCAGATATGGTGTAAACATCACTTTAATATCAATCAGTTAAGTTTAATTTAAACAATTAAAAGCATATTAAGCATCAAACAAAGTCATAATCTCTTTAAGAGTGTCCTCCTAGGCTTCAGTTTATGGCACCAGGTAAACACCATGGAGACGCTTCCCTGCCTCAGCCTGTTACCCAGTGAGAGATAAAACAATGCAGTCCTCTGTAGCACACCCTCATGTTGTCTGTAATAGTGTTGTCCTTGTACTGAATTTTTAAAAATGTCCATTTCCTGCTAACACTTAAGCACCACTGAGCGCACTCTTAAACACAGCTGATTTGCCATAGTATTCACCAGTGCTTAACAGAAATGACTACAATTGGTCGTGAAGGTCATAAGTTCACCGCACTTCACTGAGTGCAAACACAAATTTACGAACACTGCACCGTTTTAAATCCACGAAGATCAGTCGATCGCTCGTCTGTCTTTGCACTGTAATCTGCGGTAAAGTGCAGTGAACTGATAACCTCCACGGCAAATTAGAGTCATTTCTGTTGAGCACCGGTGAACACAATGACAAATCAGCAGTGTTGCATTCAACAGTGCTTAAATGCTAGTGGTAAATTGACTGTTTTTATAAATTTCAGTGCTGTAATTTAGTATCATGACAAGTCTATTATAGCGAAAGAATCAGTTCATTAACTTGAGTTTGATAAATGGCATGAAAAATGTGTGTTTAGGAAAAATAACCTTAGCTAACTAGTGCTATTTCCCCTTAACTCGGCTGAAAATGAGCTCTGATATCCCTTTTTATTTTCACTTTATTTTCACAACAGACCTTCGGGTCACTTGGAAGATCGTGAAATTATACATTTGTGTTCCTTTTTTCTTCACTTATAAGATATACAGTCAGGTACACAACATACCTGTATGACTCAGGCGATACGTTTGGGTTTCTTCCCACTGCAGCCTCGATTTTGCTTTTAAAATGACGTCCGCGTAAAATCAGTCTAGTATTGTGCTTGTTTAACATGTAGTTAAACCTGAAAAATGCTAAAATCCCATTCTAATAAAATACTTAAAATTCATGCAAGCATGGTCCGCGAACATGATTGTCATTATTGCTGTATTTTGTGATGGAAGACTAAATTTGTCTTCCCCCATGAAATTTGAAGACCATCTACCTGAGGTCTGTTTTGCTGTGAGATGAGTGTCTTCTACATTTGTGCTTATACTTGCAGTCATGAATGCAGTGATGGGAAGCTCACTCTTCATTCATCTTCTTAATGATGTTTGGATCTCATGATTCCTCATTGTTTCGATGTTACTTGGTTTGATCAAAACATTGTGCGCAAAGTAATTTCAGACAGCCAATGAAAACCAGTTTACTGCATGCTCCACAGTGCCGTAATCATTGTGGAATAATCATTGCACATCAAATTGGACTATTATTGGATCTCAGTTTGCAGGTTGCCAGATTTTGTTTGTCCCGCAGATGCTTGTAGTTGTTTATCACTCTGAACACTGACCCTTAGTCATTGTGGATGTGACACTCTTTCTGCTGTGATAAGGTGCGTCTCTGAAAGACCCGTCTTATCGCATTCGTAGGCTGTGACGCAGGCCCTTGTTTTATTGCCCGTGTCTCTTTGTGTCCTCTGTCATTCATCCATAGACATCAACAGCTTGAGAAATGTCCTCTGACGGCTCCAGGCGTCTTCTTCACCTCTCGCTTCCCACAAACCCTCTTTATTGGATTCTACCTCTGCATCATCCATCTCTCTCTCCCTCTCTCTCTCTCCCTTCTCTTCTCTGCTCCAGCTGGGTTTGTTGACACACTGTCGGCCTCTTCCAGCTCTCGTACCCATTCCCTTTGCACGAGCCGTAAAGCTGCCACAGCTGTGGGCTGTTCAACCATCTTAAATATATTACAGCCATTAGCTTTGTTAAGGCCTGACAGCTTTAATACATTTGAGGCTTTACTCCAGCCAGAGGCAGGACACTACAGAGATCCGTCTGCTTGGATTTTAATTATGTTATATAAATGTTTTATTATTATTTTTACTTAGACAATTAAAAGTGGTTTGTTCTTTATAGTTTACTTAATATGGTTAATGCGATTTATATTTATGCTGCTTTTTTATTTTAATTTCTTAGGTGTGTAAATATTTAGAGAAGTTTTATATTCTATATTTTTATTTTGTATTGAACTATATCAGGGTGTCCGCAGGGTCTTAAAAGGTATTAAATGTTGATAAATCTATTGTAGAGCAATTTAAAGCCCTTAAAGCATTAAAAAGTCCTAAATGCTATTTTTTAATGTATTAAATGTTATATTGTTTTTGATTATGCAAAGTATGATTCTATGCTGAAGTTTGCCTGAATTAAATCTGCAAATATCAGGATTTTGTGTAGTTTATGAAATCAATAAAATCCTGCAATCCTGCTGCTAGTTATCTTGCCAGTGTTTCTGGTTGAAACCTAAAGATGTTGTATAATGTCTTAATGTATGGATAGTCTTAAAAAACATCCTCCAAAGGTATTGAATTTCACTCTCTGATTCATGTTTATTCTCTCTCTCTCTCTCTCTCTCTCTCTCTCTCTCTCTCTCTCTCTCTCTCTCTCTCTCTCTCTCTCTCTCTCTATCTCTCTCTCTCTATCTCTCTCTCTCTCTCTCTATATATATATATATATATATATATATATATATATATATATATATATACTATTTGCTACATTAGTAACCTTTATTTTATTTATTTATTAAATACCTGTCCAACGGTCTGTTCTTTTTACATGGATTACTCCATTAGCTTAATTTGGTTATTGGTGAACTGACCCTAGACATGTGACAATTCACCTGACTCGCAATGCTTATTCAGTGTTTATTCAGGATTTTGTTTTACAAAATTATTTGAGACAAATTAAAAGCGAACAAGAAACCTCGTTTGTGGTTTTTTTTTTTTTTTTTTTTTTGTCTAATACAGCACTTTTTTTTTCTTAAATAAAATATTTTCTGCGACGACAAAATCCAAATAAAAAAAGTGAATAATACAAATTAAAAAGACTCTTTAATAAAAACAAACTAAAACTGAATGTGCAGGGATTTTAGTAATTTATTTCTTTTATTTTTCCCTTTTTTATTTTTTAAATACCAGAATATCTATGATTTCTGGCATAAGCTGAGATCTTTGCACATTTACAATGTCCTCTGCTGATAAAGAAAAAAAAACTCACTGGGGACTGAGATGGCTGATGTGGAGAGGAAAGCCTTTCCTAAACCAGAGAGCAGTGTGTACAGAGGTGGTACTGATTATAATTTGTAATGTACACTATAATAAGCAAATTATTAAAAGATGCATAAACTAAATTGAAAAAAGAGGAAAAAAATAACAATATAAAACCTGCTTCTGTATTAGCACAATTTCCTCTTTCAATAATACAAATGTCTTTACACTTTCGCTATGAAAACAGATGCACCGTGTAATCTCTGTAATTTAAGCTCTCCTTGGTGTAAGCGTAAAAGTAGAACTTTTCACTCTAAAAGTAGAACTAAATCAATAACTGAGCAATTCCACCGTTATGGTTGTGACGGTTGCAATAAATACTCAATATATAAACATTATAAAAGTATGTTAACATTGTATTAAAACATCTGTTTATATTTTCCAAAACCATTATACAGAACTATGGGATCAGACAAATTTCAATCTGTTAACCATTTTTAATATTTTAAATGAGGGAAATAAACATGCTTCATGGATGTGACCAAAAAAGTCAGCAAGTTTACAGAGTGTACAACATACTTTTGTAGAAATTGTGTGAATTAAACTGCACAACCCAAAAGAAACAATGCTAATCAAAGGATAAGAGTTGCTCAATATAGAACAAACATGATTTAGTTATTTTTATTTTATATTTTTGGCTATATGAAAGAAAAGCTTGGTTATGGGTTTGACATCTCTCCGTTATGGATGGGACTGATGTGAAATTGCCACTTGTGTGACTTTGGTAAATCACATATAATTGTTTGAAAACATTAACTGAGGTGTTTTTGATTTATTTCTACAGTATTGTAAAATACAATAATACACACAAATATTTGAAAGAGTTTTGGTAACAATTTTTTCACGGCAAGGTTGAGATTTGCATGGAATTGCTCAACTGTAACTTTAGCATTACTGTATCTACTGTAACTGTACCTGTCTCTCTTCACAGGTGTCGTGATGAGCAAGGCGAGGTTGAGCAGAGACAGAAGAGCGGCATCGGTTGGGGTCTCCAGAGTCACCCGCAGCTCCATGATGAGTCCTCAGGACTGTGAGCGCAGCAGAGCTCCAGACCCCGGCCTGCTGGACGAGCTCAGCCTCATGAGTGTCAGTGAACAGCAGGCCTCAGCCACACGGTCAGACCAACACTCAAATATTACTACACATTTAAGCAACATAGTGATGAAATGCAGTTTAAAATAAGGTGATCTTGATATTAGACCTCATCTTTTCAACTGCCAACGGGCTGTAAGTAATAGTAAATGTAAACATTAATAATTTGGCAAAATAAGTTTTCAGTATTTTAGGATTAAGGATATTTAAGGATTTGACTACAAGGGGTGGCGCAGCGAGTAGCATGATCGCCTCCCAGCAAGAAGGTTGCTGGTTCGAGTCTCGACTTGGTCAGTTGGCATTTCTGTAGGGAGTTTGCGTGTTTTCCCTGTGTGATGGGTTTCCTCCTGGTGCTCCAGTTTCCCCCACAGTCCAAAGACATGCGGTAGGGGTGAATTAAATAAGCTAAATGGGCCATAGTGTATGAGTGTGAATTCAAGAGTGTGTGGGTGTTTCCCTGTGTTGGGTTGCGGCTGGAAGGGCATCCGCTGCATAATACATGTGCTGAATAAGTTGGCAGTTCATTCTGGTGTGGCGATCCCTGATTAATAAAGGGAATAGGCTGCAAAGAAAATGAATGAATGAATGAGTTATATAGTACATGTTCCATGCACTTGCTAACTTGCTATAGTAATTACAATGAAAATGATTTGACTACATTTACAGTAACATTTGTTACAGTTGTTGTTACAGTCATCCTTAAAGATGAGTTTCATTTACTTTAGTTGTGCAATAAATTTGTTGGTTATAACTTGTAGTAGTCCTAACATTCGTTAATAAACATACAGCTGTTCTTTCAATATATTCTGTTAAATATTAGTCAATAAATTAAAATCAAACATTTGAGTTTGTTGAAATTAATTATAACTAAGAATAATAAAGGCTTAGAATGTTTGTTATATAGCAGAAGTTAATAATACAAGTTTAATAAATGATACAAGTATGTCAAATTTAACATGGTTTGCTAATGTTAACGTGAAACTTTTATAATAGTGTTATGCTGTAAACTAAGTGTATTAAGATGTTTTAATAAAAAAGAATTGTTTTTAAAATAAAAATGAAAATTTTTACTTAATGATTATTAAGAATATTAAATCAACTTTGTGGTATACAAACAATATCAAAACAACTAAAGTAATGCTAATACGTACAAATATTTATATTTACTTTTTTAATTTAGTGTGCCAACTACAAAAACGTACTAAAACAACTGAAAGATAAAGCTGAATTGAACAATAAAACAAAGTAAATCTATAAATTAAATGAGCGCTTAATTGTAGTTTTAGGAGTAACTGACCTACATCTTTAAAACTCTTTTCATCCACTCTGAAGTGATTTTGAGTCTTACTTTGGCCGCAACCAACTCCTGTTTCAGCAAATAGAATGATTTTTGGCGACAAATCTTATTTTCAAACATATTTTGGGAAAATGCTTTAAAAATGTTCAAGAATTCAACAATACACTGGGCAAATTGACTACCCTTTTGATTATTTCATGGTTGATTCTACCCCATTGACTTTCGTGATGACTTAAAAAAAAAAAGATTTTTATTGTTTTATTGCAAAGCCATGACACCATATAATAATGCATGATTATGCATTAATTAATGTTTGATTGTTGCTGGTTTTCCCTGTTGGGAAGATGTACAATGTAATCTTGATGTCTAAGAAAAACAAAATAAGCAGCTCAGCTATCAGAACATAGTAGACATAGTAAGTGTATTTATACACACAAACACTAAAATCTGCTGTTTTACTCCACATAACTCCATATAAAAGCCAGAAACTTTTTTGCACAGGTTTGTCTAAAGGGTTAATTATGCCAACTGATGACCAACAGTAAAAATTGCACAATTGTTTCCTCTTCCCAACAGGAAAACCACCAACAATCAACAATGCATGATTATGCTGTCATGGCGATCAAAAATGTAATAATAATGGGAGTCAATAGGGCAAAAACAGCCAAGAACATAACAAAAGGGTGGTTAATTTGAACAGTACACAAGGGTTAAAAAGTGGCATATAATAGAGCCTAAGTTCTGTGTTGTATTTCTGCATCTCTTCAGGAAAGGTAGTAGTAAGCCTGCTCTGTCCTCACCCTCTGGACGCTCAGTATCGCGCGGGGCTTTGGAAACCATCGGCAGGCTGATGAAGCTTGGTCGAGTGCGAAACATTGTGGTAGTTGCTGGAGCAGGAATCAGCACAGCCAGCGGGATCCCAGACTTCAGGTGAACACACACACAAAACCACAAACCTTCAGACTGCTGCTAAAATCTCATGACCCTCAACTAACACTTCTCTCTCTATATCAGGACTCCAGGAACGGGTCTCTACGCAAACCTAGCAAAGTACGACATCCCTTACCCAGAGGCCGTCTTTAACATCGACTACTTTTCTGACAACCCTCATCCCTTCTTCTCACTGGCTAAAGAGCTTTATCCTGGACACCACCGGCCCAACTACGTCCACTACTTCATCCGCATGCTGCATCAGAAAGGCCTGCTGCTCCGCATGTACACCCAGAACATCGACGGTCTCGAAAAACGTGAGCTTAAATGGACAGTTCAGATAAAAATAAAATAATTGTCGTTTACTCGCCTTTTTTAGTTTCAAACCATTGAGTTTTTCTTGTGTTGAACACAAAAAGATGCTAACTATAAAACTGCTAACTATTGATTTTCATTTAATTTAAGGATGCTCATAATAAACAATTACCCGTTGACTGAAAGAGTGCGTTTTTAACTGGTTAATGGTATCAGTTAAATGATTAAAAGTTCGGCTGCATAAATGTGCAACACAGATTTGTTAACTCGTGGGATGGTAACACTTGCAACCACATGTGCCTACAGATGTATTTTGGCAAAGACGGAAAATAAAAGAAGAATGTTGCTGGTCACAGTTTGACAGATGAGTTGATTTCAAACCAGCGCTGATGCTCAATGCCTCTGTCCTGGAGCTGCCTCTTAAACACTACCATTTATTTGCCGAATTGGAGAAAGAAGCGCAAAATAAAACTTTCTGAAATGTGCTCTGCTTTGAAAACATTCTGAGCATCTGGGTTTTTTCTCCATCAGTGCAGGCTCTGGCACCACTTATAAACGCAACTAATAGTTCTAAAGATTTAGTATACAACCAGCAAACCAACTTTTTTCATTTGGAAAATTGCAGCTATTAATAGTTCCTATAAAATACTCATTTTTAAGATCTATGAATCAAACAAATCCAATGATTTTTTTAGATTTTTACATAATGACTGTGCACCAAACTGAGGCTTGTATTTTATAGCTTATAAAACATGTTTGCAAATTAATGCAATATCATGTGTAAACAACAAAATTGTTATACGCTTATATCCTATACTTCACAAAAAGTCAACATATGCGCCTTGTCATTGCCGTTTATATTTACCACGAGCGAGATGGAGCACACAAGCTCTAATGTAAAATCAGATGCTCACGACAATCTTTAAACTAATGACTTCTATTAAAAATGTCGATAAAGGTTTGTTAAATACATATTTTTTGTTGAGCAATCGATTTGAGGTAGCCTGTTATTTTTATCTGACAGAGGAAAAAACCTTTTTATGTCCGTTTAAAATGTCCGTTTAAAAGGATTCAGTCAGTGTTTTTGTTTTGTTATCTACATTTGTAATTTAAGTGAAAAATACCTAGGGCAGACACAAAATATACACATGAATTCATCTTTTTAAATTAAATAATAATGTGATATTAATTTGACCTGTTAATGATTAATATTGGGTTAATGAGCGGCGGTTGTTGATTGGCAAAATTAACCAAGATGAGCAACCTTAATAGAATTAGTGTTTTTTTTTTTTTTCATTCCAGATTAATTACATTAAGTCATGCAAACATGGTTTATATTACAGGTGGTTTAAAATTATGTTTAAATAATAGGAAAACAAAGATTTTTAATTTAAATATATGCTAATTTTTATATATATTTTGTACAAAAGTCCATTTTTGTTTTTTTGTTTTCTTTAGAACAAAAGTTGTCATGAACAAATTCCTCTAACCCATATACCTGTCAACCAATTTTTTTTAATGTTTTGTTTGTTTGTTTGTTTGTTTTTTAAACCTGGCATTCTCCCGTGATTTTACTATTCCGTGCGGCTGTTATCCTATTTAAATATTTTCCTGTTTATTCGTCTGCCGAACCACCAGGGGGCACCTTTGCCCTCAAATATGGCATAATCACAATAAAATTTAGCTATTTATTTATTGTTATTATTTATTCCTTCCATTAGACTGAAAAAGCATTTAAGGAAAAAGTAAAAAAAAAATCTCAACATTTTTGCCTGGAATGTCTAACCTTAAACGTCTTTACTGATTTGCTGTGTTTTATTCATTAGTCAATAGTATTTGTGTGAACTCTCTCTTTAACCCTGTCTGTAGTTTGCGGTATCCCTGATGACAAACTTGTGGAGGCTCATGGGAGTTTTGCCACCGCTGCCTGTCACCTCTGCTATACTCCTTATCCTGCAGAGGAAGCCAAGGTAAATAGAGCTAAAATAGATGGTATTGAGTTTGCACCATTCTACGCACTACACATAAACTGCTTTTGTGTTTTTCTCTCAGCAAGCTATAATGAACGGGAGTGTTCCCATCTGCACATTCTGCGCTGGGGCCGTCAAACCTAATGTTGTGTTCTTTGGAGAAGATCTGCCGGAAAAATACTTCCAACATGCTGAAGATTTCCCAAAAGCAGATCTTCTCATAATCATGGGCACTTCTTTAAAGGTTGGTTTAAGTTGTTGTCGTTATTGAAGAAATATTTTAAATTCATGATGTTTCCCAGCAGGTGCAGGATGTCAACATGACTTCAGATTGATGTTGTACCTATCTGAAAACACAAATCATAGAGACATGCTTCAAATAGAATGGAGGCTATTTTCATCTAGCACAAATTTCTAAAAGAAGTGGGTTTGTTTAGATCTCAACATTAGATATATATTTTTTTATTTTTTGTTAAATATAATTTTTTTATCTTTATTATGTACATTATTATTTTGCTAAGGAATATACAGGTTTTTAGTAATTTAAAAAGTCAATCAAGGTGTGTAATGTCACTCTATATGGCTACCATGAAATATTGAATATCAGAGACTTTTTTTTTTAAAAGCATTTTTTTCTGCTTATCAAGGCTGCAATTATTTAATTGGTATTTAGAAATATAAAAATTAAAGAGCCCCTATTATGCATTATAAAAGGTCATATTTTGGTGTTGGGGGTCTTCAACAGCTGCAATAAGTGTGACAAAAACACTTTAATTGTCTTATAATATACATTTATTTTACCTATTTATCACAATGACTCCCATATGATTTGTTCAGAGATTAATTTGCTTCCAAACCCCTCCTTTGCATGAGGCTAATGTGTTGTGATTGGTCGACTGGGTTCTGTGCGAGACAAAAAAACGTGGCTATGAAGAGAGCCCAATGCAGGAATGCAATAAAGCAATGCAGTTAAACTCCAGCATATTACTCCACTCTAACCCCGAGTAATAACAAGGACACGCATTCAGTATTAATCCACACAGTGGCAAAAGTTGAACTATTTAGAAAATTGACCATGAGTGAGGAACAGCTGATGGTGGCCATAGCAGTAACCAACGGCAGAGGATTGCGAGTTCAGAAACTGATTTAAATTGGTAAAGAAAGCAGCACACATCGTGTTTTCAAGATGGTTTTGGATGTGATATGTGAACAGCCATAGAGATTTACCCTAATAAATACAGTACAAGCACTGATCTATAATAGATAAGTGATTACAAGCTGCACAGAGCAACACGCAATTAAATGCATATTTTGCTAACTACAGAAAACAAGGCAACCATTTTAATAACACAGGTTGTGTATGAAGGAGAAACATTTACTGGATCTGGAGGGAGAAATTGTCAGTAACTGTTACACAGTTTGTATTAACCAAAGTCCCATACATTAATAGTCTCTACTGATCCTTCCTTCAATAGCAAACGACTGGCAAATCCCACGTTGCGGCGTTGGATATCTTTTCAATTAACAGAAAAATGACAGGAACAAACACAGCACACTGTTGGCTATACTCTTTTGGTGTTGTGAAAATGAACTCAACCCATTATTCCCCACAACCGCATGTCTGGCCATCTCTCAGTGACTGGTAATCTTCGCGTCATGATCCCTCGCACTCCGCTAGTATCTGAAGGGAAAGGCGCGTTCACGTTCTACTGCATCCGGCACTTCGTATTTGGTATTGTTTTGCATGACGCGAACAGGCAAAAGATCCGGACTAACGGAGTGGAATCCAGAGTGAAATCTTTGTTAAAAAAATCCAATATTTTTACAAGATGCACTTTCAGATTTAAACCTCAGCTGGATGATTTCATTCACTCAGATCTGTTACACACTGCATAGAAGGTCATTTTCAAAAACCCATAATAGGGGCTCTTTAACTTTTTTTTATTTTGTTTTATTTTTTATATTTTTAGTTGTCAAGTGATCTTTCAAAAATCATTCTAAGATGCTGAATTGATATTCACGATGCCATATGTAAATCTAATTGCGCCAGTATTATAACCACTTTAAAGGTTGTTTTGGTGAACCAATTTCAAATGAATACTGGAAACAACTTTAACAGGAGTCTTTATTGTCCTCTAATTAAATACATCCTTCCTGAATGAATCAAAGTCTGCATGTAATGAAATAAAGTATAGTGTGTTTATTTAAATACAATATATATTTATTTCCCAGATTGAGCCCTTTGCCAGCTTGATAAACACCGTGAAGTCCACAGTTCCTCGTCTCCTGCTGAACCGTGATGCAGTCGGGCCCTTTGAACGGAGGCCCCTGAGAAGAGCCGACTACATGGAGCTGGGAGATCTGTCCGAATCTGTACGCAAACTGGCAGAGATCCTTGGATGGCACACGGAGATCCAGACCCTGATGAACAGCCATGAGAACGGTCTTTATTCATACATCAGCAGCAGTGGTGAGAACAGCGGAGACTCTGAGACGGACAGCATGCACTAATATCACTCTAATCTCCTCGTGTATGGAGATTTATTACTCCTTACATCTGTGCGTTGTTTGTCTCTCCTCTCCTGACCACATGAGCACAGCCTTATTTAGTCAAACGATGAAATCTGGCCCTTTCTGGTGGCATTATTTTAAACCGAAATCATTGTCTGCAGAGTGTTTGCTGCTTTTGACAGAACCCCTGTCCTCCAGTTCTTGCAATTGAGGCTGTCTGCAGGAAGACTGTACTGTAATCTAAGCAGAGAACTGTAAGTATGACAAATCTTCACTTCCTGACAGAAAAAAGCTAAACTGTATCTGAATGCTGCTGGGAAGACAAACTAGACACATGGCACTTACTTGATTCATTATGGAAGGCTGATTATCTCTGGACTAGCCAAAAATGAATCATGCTAAAAGCTACTTTTCCATTTTACAAACTGTACATAGGATTTGAGGGAATAGTTGGTTATGAATGGGTGCAGATAAGAGTTAAAAGCTAGTTCACTTCAAAACTAATAATTTTTATAATGATATACTTAATGTTGTTTCAAACCAACAGGACATTCATTCATTCATTCATTTTTTTTTTTTTTTTTTTTTTAGAAATGATTATATACGCTAAGGCAGGGATGTCAAACTTAGTCCCTGGAGTTCCGCAGCTCTGCACAGTTTAGTTTCAACCCTAATTAAACACACCTGATCAAACTATTTGACTCCTTCAGGCTTGTTTGAAACCTACAGGTAAGTGTGTTGGAGCAGGGTTAGAACTAAACTGTGCAGGGCTGCAGCCCTCCGGGAATTGAGTTTGACATCCCTGCTCTATGTTTAAGTAAATTTGGACACTTCAAACGTTCAGAAATGTGTGTGTGAATCCATCTTAAGAGACGCTACTGCTTCATAAGATGAACAGATTTAATTTAGGCTTTTTATTTGCATATAAATATTAATCCCCAAACGTAAACATTATACCTGCTTCCCACAAAAACTAGCCCCTTATAGTTTCGTTTGGAGCTTGAGAATCAATATTGAGCCTCATTGGTTCTTGTTGAGCTTAAATGTGCGGTGTGATGCGAGGATGAACCTTATTGGTTCTTAAAGTGATTGATCACTCACCTAAAAATAAAACAAATTACTTGTTTAAGTGGATCTAAACTTTTATGAATGTCTTTCTTCTGCTGAACACACAAATATTCTGAAGAATGCTGGGAAGAACTTTTACATCCATAGTAGGAACAAAAAATAGCTCTGAAACTCAAACAGGTTTGACCATGTGGAGGATGAGCAAATGACCGTTTCATTATCGGATCACTTTAGGATCAAACATGGCGACATGCAAAAATGGCTCTTTTTGGTTTTTGTGAAGCTCCTAATGTGACGTCACAAGAATGAACCTCATTGGTTGTTGCGTGTCAAGCGAGCATGGAGTTTCCGTGATCAAATTAAAATGCTGTTTGCTGAATTCTTAAGTGAAATAGAAGCCTAAATTAAATGTTCATTTTAAAGCAGTCATGTCTGTTTAAAACATCTGGATTGACCCTTTTCCTGTCATTGTCCCATTTTCAGAACATGGAAAAAAAGAAACTCCATGTATATCATTTTCAAATCTGAACTCGATTCATACACATTTTTTGGCTTTAGTGAACCAGCTTTCAACAGACAGAAATCTCCAATTTCATTCAAATTAACTTCATTTGTTTTGTTCAAAACCAATTAGACTTCAGTTCATCTTCTCAACACAATGTAAATTGACCATTTTTCAACGAGTGTGAACGAACCTTTTAAAGCATTCATTCATCTAAACATTCACATTTCTATTCTGTTATTAATTACTCTGTTTTACCAATCTCCTGAGACCTTCAGTCATCTTCAGAACACCAATGAAGAGATTTTAGATGAAATCCGAGAGCTCTCAGACCCTCACAGTCAATAAAAGGATCTGAAAACATTGTCCGAACAATCTATGTGACTTCAGTGTTTCAACTGTGATCACACGAAGCTCCAAGAGCAATTTTGTATGCCAAAACCGAACTGTAAGTGTTAAAGTTTGCCTGTGTTCTGGGTCAGATCAGGGTGCGCATTTGCAATACAGTATTTATGTTAGGCAGATGACTCTAATGGTAATACGTCACACTGCCTGTTGAAAATGTGCGTCCTGATGAGAGAAATCCTTGATGAACAGTTGTTTTTACTACTATCTTTTTATGGTGGGTGTTCTTGGAGCGTCATGTCATTACAATTGAGCCACTGAAGCCTTGTTCTGAAAATGTTTTTGGTTTCTTTCCTGGACTTCAAACGTCTCAAGATCTTTGCCGTTTCTAAAGGACAAGCGAGCTTATTTCATGTAAAATGTCTGAGTTTGTGGATCAACATGAGGGTGAGTGAGTAATTAATAACAGAATTTTAGAAAAATTGTGAGGCCGAAGTGTTTTACATGCTAAATTCCAGATTTGAATCTTTTGGTTTAGAAATGGTTGTGCAAAGTACTCATGAAATGGAGCTAATGTCCAGTGGTGCATGTAAAGTTCTAGTCGCTTGTTGGTTAATTTGGTATCCATGTAGTCGTGTGTGTGTGTGTGTGCGTGTGTGTGTGCGTGTGTGTGTGCGTGTGTGTGTGCGTGTGTGTGTGCGTGTGCGTGTGCGTGTGCGTGTGGAGTGAGTAGAGCAGTTTCCCCACTGTGTGTTTTCACAGCATTGCAGACCCACTAAACTCTAATTAATGGCTTTGCTTGCCAACAAAGAACCCAATATCCTGTGTGCGTGCATGCATGTGTGTGTGTGTGTGTGTGTGTGTGTGTGTGTGAGAGAGAGTGAGTGGCTAAGACTTTGCACAGGATCAGTGTAGTAGTAGCTGATAATCAGATCTCATCATGTCCCTCAGGGATTTTTGACAGGAGTAAAGCAGATTTTGAAGAAATGTTGACAAAAAGCCAGAAAATCTGTTCAAATGTTTTAGACTTTGTCATTTGTTCAAACATCGTTCATATATTGATACGCTGGATTGTTTGGTCATTGTTTATTGGCTTCATTGTTTCTGGTTGATGAACATTTGTGTTTTGACTGAAGCAGGACTCTGTGTTTTTGCAGTTTATTGATCGCCAGTTATTTGAGTTCGCATTTGTTGAGTTTAACATTGTTGCTATTTGTACTTCTGGTGACACTTTAAAATAATGCTCCTTTATGTATTCACTAACATGAACAAACTATTAGTAATACATTTATTGCAGTATTTATTCATGTCTGTTAACTTTAGTTTTTATTATTTAAGTTAAATAACATGGGTTCATGTTAACTCGGAGTGGACTAACTCTGTATTAACAAGCAAAACTTTGGATTTTAATAATGCAGTAGTTAATGCTGAACTATGATTAATTAATGCTTTACAAGATTGTTCATGCTTAGTTAACGTTAGTAAATACATTAAATACTGGATCATTATTCTAAAGTGTTCTGTACTTTTTAATATAAAATGCTGCTGTTTGTTTGTTTGTTTGTTTGTTTGTTCTGTACTTTTTATTTGACTGTTTTTAGAAATTGCATCTTGCAGTATTTAATAAACCTTTATCTTTGTTTCATTATATTTTGGGTTGTGTTCTTTCTTTCTTTCTTTACATTGTCAAACAAAAGAATACAAGGTTACCTCCAAACTGAAATACGTTACAGATTACTGTTCTTATAAAGTAGTGAATGACCTTACGAAATTACTGATGCTGAATTGTCATGCATGACATTTCTGCTGTATTACTTTTGAATTACTGTTACAAAAAATATTACAGATGTAAACTTAAAGGGAAAAAATGACTTTAAAATTTATTTTATTTATTATTATTTTATTTTTTATTTTTTGCTGTTTTGTACACAGTTTTCCACATTAGATACTTGGACATTAATGCTGATAAAAAATATCCTGCAGCATCCCACACACACCTGCAAGAATTCTACAGGGAACATGCAAGTATCCTCATGGAAACGAGGAGGACTTATACAAGAAACATGTGGGTGTCCCTACAGAACATGCAGGACTCTTGCTGGAAGCAGCATGTATAGGTAGGAATGCGTGTATTAATATGTTATTTCTCATTTAATAATATTTCTGAAAACATACCCAGCTCATTCATGTTTAAAGGGCACTTATCTTAAATCTTGAAAAGGGTGTAAAATAAGTCTTTTCTGTCTCCAAAATGTGTCTAAAGTTTCAGCTCAACATCCATCAGATTATTCATTATAGCTTTCAGAATATTGGGATTTCTGCTTTGAACACTGTAGCTGTTTTTTGTGTCTCGTGCTTTTAATGCTAGATCTCCCCGCTCACCATTGCCACAAGTCTTTCAGAGTGTGCTTCAGCTGCATCAGATAAACAGCACAGTGACCGACATAAGGAAAGCGGATCTCACGTAACGCTTGAGAAATACTACAGTAACAAACTGACCCAATGATTATTTGATGTATTTGTTGTGAAGTTAATTCAAGCCTTTCTGCAACAATGAGTCACACACAATGTTGTTATAAAGTTTGCACACACACACAGCTTGCGTTTAACTTAGCACTGTTTTTGCATGGTAAATGTGACAGTATACCTGTTATTTGGTAATGTATAAAATAAACCTGATTTAACCCGTTCAAAAACCTGGATTGAAACCTCTTTTATAATTGTACTGACACGCTGCTGTGCTGCTAAAAATAATAAAATAACTGCAATTCATTACAAATATGCACTGTTTTAAGCTTGTAAAACTCGTTACTGATCACGTTTGATAATGACATGATCACAGTGAGCTGAACAGATCTTTTAATACTGGTTATTTCGCACATTGTTGATATAAGTGTTACTACAGAGACATGTTAATACGTGTCTGTCAATCAATTCGGTGGGCGGGGAAACCACACTCCTACATCACGTTGCGGTGGGCCTCAAAATGGGAGGGATTTGGATCCTATTTTAACATTGAGGGGGGTAATAAAAAAAGACAGATTGTCTTTATATCACCCCGATATGATTGTGGACACAATATACCTCCACACAGTTCTGTCCAAACAGCTTCCAAAAGAGGATTTTCATCATAGGTACCCTCTAAATACTCTTGATGATTAATATTTACATTTGATCTCAGTTTTAATACATTTATTAAAAAAGAAAATTCACCTAATTCTGAGTTTCTGTGTCATACAGCCAGTTTCTGGTTTCTGACTTGATTCTGCACTTTTATATGACAGTGTCCAAAAACTGTGTGAAAATAATATTTTTAAATAATTTTAGCAAATAACGGCACTTGTAGGTTTTTGTTATTCATTTTATTGCAAATGATTGTCTGAAAAGAAAAGAAAAATCTGAAGAGGAAATAAAAGGAATCTTTTATAAAACAAATCCCCTTTATTCAACACGAAGCATTACAGTAGATTTAGATGTTGAATATCGGGGAATTTTACAAATCTTCAAATCAAAGATCAGCAATATTTAGAAAATCAGAATGTATTACATGCTTCATCGTGTGTACAAAACTGAACATTCCTTAGAAAAAGAAACAAAAGATACACTTCCAATAACATTCAAAGGAGGAAATTATAATAATAACAGTACATAGAAAACTATGCAGCTAAAAATAATATAGAACGTTAGAAAAGACAGATTCATTTGTGTGAAACCCCAGGCAGAAGTGGCAGACAGAGTCGGTGCACTTTTTGTGCGTGACGAACATTTTCACCATGTAAAATAATAAGATCACATGGCTTTTATCGGCATATAACATTTCAAAAGCCATTCAAGTATTTTGAAACGTCATGAAACAGTTTTCTTCCATCTGATAACCAGCAGCAGCAGCAGTCAAAACTCTTGAAAAACAAATGGAACCAGCTTTTATATATTGATTAAGTATCAGGAAGCCTTTATACTTCATTAGTGAAAACCAAGTGCTTTTCCCCCATCACAGAGTGCCACAAACACACGTTGAGCATCATCTTCCTCATTTCTATCTGCTGAAACTCGTGCGTTTGCTGGACGGCAGCTCATTCTTCGCATCTCAGTGAGAAAGACGAGCACTGGTCAGTGTGTGTGTGTGTGTGTGTGTGTGATGTGCTAGTCGGAGTCGGAGCCGCTGCTGGCTAGACTGCAGTCGTGGATGGCCTGTCCTAAAGGTGCCAGAGTCCCGTCTTTCCTCACTCCCATTGGTCTGATCAGCTCCTTCCTGTGGACGAGGCAGAGCAGAGTTGTGTTTTTGCATGATGCTTTGAATGTTTACAATGACGTATGCAAATGAGAGATGCCGACAGCAGAAATCTGATCAGCTGCAGTGCCAATGGAAAGTTTCATGAGGAATAGATTTCTTTGCACACAGGTGTTTTTTTCTGAGAATTTTTTTATTGCCGACACCAAATTGAGATTTTATTTATACACGTCATGCGTCAACTTTAGCAGGTTGCTGCGGTGGAAAGTTCAGGCTTGGTGACATCACTAGACTGCGCGAGACCAATCGAGGATCAAAACACGACCTCTCTGGACAGAAATTGAAAATATGGCGCAAGCGCTTGCTTTTTAAATGTCTTATCATCTTGTTAAATCCCGCCCCTTTTCGCAGAGCCTTAAGACAGAATTTCGCAAACTCAAACTCTGGTGTGACCGCAGCTTCAGAGAGTGAAATTCAATATTTTCTGTTTTTAAGTCACTTTGCATACATTTTAAGACCTTATTGCAACTTTAGGATTCAACAGTAACACTGCTGACTTTTTAATTTATTATATTTACTAAATACTGATTGTAAGACACTATTCCAAAATGAAAACATCATTCATATACTGACTAAAAATGCTAATCCAGCAGGTGACGCCTACAACAGCAGGCATAACAGTGTTGCTTTGGTTAATGCAGTAAATAAAGCAGCAGGATTTGATTTGATTCGATTTCATGAACTACACGGCATTTTAATATTCGCAAATCAAATTCAGGCAAACTTTAGCACACTGATACAAAATGTAATACCTTGCATAAAAGCATTTAAAACATTTTAATATTTTTTAAGGGCCTTAAATTTCTCTAAATTAATTTATTAACCTTTAATACTTCTTAAGACCCTGGGGACACCCTGAATGAAGCTATTTCCCATAGAAATTTGTATAAAATAAATAATTTGTATAAAATAGTTCCAAACTCCAGCAGTCATCACCGAGCCTCCGGCTTTATTGTGCTCGCGGCTTGTCGATTTGGTTTTTCAGGCCACTAATTTGTCAGCACAATCCAGCTGCTCTTTGAAAGCAAGTCTTTGTACGGGGCATTGTATCTGCATTCAGCTCTGTCCTCTAAAGAGGCCTGTTGATGTGTACAACATCTTTCTTTGCCTTTACATCTGGACACATAAGAGTCCTTACAATCACAACCCTAAAAAAAACCACCCCCAATCCCAGCGCGCCCCTGCACCCCTCCAGCGTCCCAGGACTGTGCTTTAATTACAGGATCAGTGCTCAATCTAATCTCTTCAAAGCCTCGGCTGCTCCTCCACACTAATCCAATTATATGTGCACTGCCAGATCATCCATCACAGCATCAGCCAATCAGAAGACACCCACTGATGAGTGAAAAGCGCATTATCCAATCAAGGACTTTGGAAAGCTCATTTGCATTTATTCAAAAACTCTGATGAACTACTAGGCATGGGCCGGTGTAAGATTCTGACGGTATGATAACCTTGGATAAAACTATCAGGGTTTTACGCTATTGTGATTACTGCTCTAAAATAGGCTCTTTTTAAATGTCTGAGTAAAAAAAATAAAAATCAACAATTTTTCCCCCTTTGAAAACAATATATTTTATTTTTTTGAAAGATTTTAAGTATTTTAGAGCAGTAAACATGTAAGGCTAAATAATGAAAATAAATCATAGACTTCTGCTGTCTTCATTGGATTCAAAAACTCAAGATTTCTTTACATTCTACAGTTCAAAATGGCATCTTTAGATATCTTTTCTGATGGAGATAATGTTGTCCTAAAAAACAACAACAACAAAAAAAGTAAATAAAACATCTTACACATACCTTACGAAGGTTATTACAGAAAATTTGGGCGGTTTTAAAACCTTGACTTTTCCAAACGGCGGTATACCTTGAAAACTGTTATCGTCCCATGCCTATAAACTACTAATACTTTATAGTAAGGTCAAATTAGTTAATACATTGACCTTAAGCAGCAGGTTGTGTTTAGTATTCCTTTATTCATCTACTTCAACTTAAAGGGATAGTTCAAACAAAAGCGAAAATGCATTCCCAATATACAAAAAAACGTTTGCTATAAGTAATGTTTTTCCACTCAATATGAAAGTAGTTATTTTGAAGAATATTGGTAGACAAAAAGTTGTTGGTGCTATTCCTCCCTAATAGTTTTAATAACTAATTTCTAATAACTAATTTATTTTATCTTTGCCATGATGACAATACATAATATTTAACTAGATATTTTTCAAGACACTAGTGTTCAGCTTAAAGTGACATTTAAAGGCAATAATAGGTTAATTACTTTAACTAGGCAGGTTAGGGTAATCAAGAAAGTTGTTGTATAATGATGGTTTGTTCTGTAGAATATCGAAAAAAAAATAGCTTATATCGGTTCAGGTTTAAGCCTCATGCACACTAAAAGTGACTCGCAGTGGGATAGTGACAAACGGAGAGCGAGCGACTTCTGGCAACCTCTGTCTACTCGAGCAACAGTGACTGCTGATGACCAGGTGGCCGGGTCGAGCGGTGCGACAAAATTGAGAATCCTTCAAAAAGCAAATGAAGAGCGACTTCGAGCGACAGCCAATAGGAGCACCAGTAGAGCTCACGTGATCATCTCTCAGTTTGCTGAGAGGCCGGCTGTATTCATGCTGTATGGGCCTACACAGACCTGCCTTGGCAGATAGTCACCACCCAGAGCGACAGGCAGCTACATAGTTGCTGCTAGTGTGAAAAAGGCATTAAATGTATCAGTTTGGCACTGCTATTGTAAATACACCATATTCACCTTTACAAAATGATATTTTCCACAAAAATCTAATTTCCAAACAACTTAATCAGGAATCAGTTTCTCAAGAAACATCTACTATCTCATCCTTCATTTATAAACAATTATTGCACTACAGGCTCCAAAAAAAAAAAAACTCAACATCAAAATTGACGTCAAAAGAACGTCATGAAGGAAACAGAGACACTTCCTCTACATCCCACAAAAACCAGAAACCTAAGCTGACGCATTATCAAATCAACAGCATCTGTAATGATAAACAGCCTAAACAACCATTTGTTTACATACACCAGTGTATGTATGTGCGTGTGTGTGTGTGTTTGTGAGGATTCGGGGTGGAGAGTCAGTACTAATTGGACATCAAGTCAAGCATCAGCCGCAGACAGGGACATTCCTCCATGCACATGTTGCGTCTCCCCAGCAGCAGCAGCAACAACACCTCCTTCATCCCGAAAAAAGAATAGGAGGAAGAGAGAAGGATCCATTCTCAAAGCCAGGAATCTGCCTCTCTTGGGCACACGCTGCTCATTACCACTCAAACACCCTATGGAAGGACAATGGCGCTTCCTCTTGTGTTTGCAAACTTATTTAACACGGGCCTGGCAGCTAACGTACAGACGCACACCCTTAATTGAGCCAGTGTCTCAAACCACTTCACATCCGAGGACAATGTCTGGCGACCCGGCTGAATAAATGAAAAAAGAAGCACGTATATATGTATTCTAAAAGCAGTACAAAAGAAGCTGAGCCGGCGACCCCACTGTGTGCACCAATTAGCTGGTAATTAATGCAGCGGGGGCTTCGGTGGCCGGCCGGTGCGCATTGACTCCTGCTGAATGCGGAAGGCCAGCTGTAAATGAGGCGCAAGACGCTGCTGCTGGAGGATTCTTGTCTTAATGAAGCGGTTGGTAAGGAGGACGGATGGAGCAACCTCTCACCGGCGTCTCGCTAGTTTACGCCACGGGTTGTTTAGAAAAGGTCAACATGAATGCGCTACCCTGCACACATCCAGACTCAGAGGAGGGGGACGAGGAAACCAGCACAATGCTTCTGGTGGATGGAGTCTTTTATGAGGGAATTATGAACTGCTTTATGCAGGATGATGAGAAAGAGAAAGAGTGACTGACTGGTTTTAGCGAGCAAAAGTGAAAACACAATGCTTGGAATGAATATGGCAGCAAATACAGTCAAATTCAACTGTTCACCTTCAAATTTCTTAATTATTTACTATGTTTTTTTTAATATATGTCATTTTTTTCGTAATCTGATATTTGATGCTGTTATTATGCAGAAGTAAAAACAATATGCACATTTCTTAATTATTTACTATATTTTCTAGAATTTATGTCATGTTTTTTTTTTTGTAATCCAATATTTGATGCTGTTTATATGCAGAAGTAAAAACAATATTCTCAGATTGAAAATGTCAGCAAATACAGTGAACTTCAAATGGTTTACCTTGAAATTTCTTAATTATTTACTATATTTTTTTGGAATATATGTCATGTTTTTTTGTTTTGCAATCCGATATTTGGTGCTGGTTATGTACAGAAGTAAAAACACAATGCTTGGATTGAATATGACAGCAAATACAGTGAGGAAAAAAAGTGGTTTAACTTCAAATATTTTTAATTATTTACTATATTTTAACCCTGAGCCCGGAGATAATTGAGGCCTGGGCTTCCTCCTGGTCAACCCCCTTTTACCTTGAGAACTGCCTTAATCCTTTGTGGCATAAATAAATTAATATAATAAATTTTATATAATAATATATAAAAATATTCATCGAACTGCATAGATTCAACAAGGTACTGGAACTATTCCTCAGAGATTTTGGTCTATATTGAGATGATAGCACCACGCAGTTGCTGCAGATTTGTCGGCTGGACATCCATGATGTAAATCTCCCGTTCCACCACACCCCAAAGGTTCTCTATTGGATTGAGATCTGGTGAGCGTGGAGGTCTATTGAGTACAGTGAACTCATTGTCATATTCAGGAAACCAGCCTAAGATGGTTCATGCTTTATGACATGGCACGTTATCCTGCTGGAAGTAGCCATCAGAAGATGGGTACACTGTGGTCATAAAGGGAAGGACATGGTCTGCAACAATACCTAGGTAGGGTTTGGCATTGACACAATGCTTAATTGATACTACTGAGCCCAAAGTGTGCCAAGAAAATATCACATACACCATTACACCACCACCAGCTTGAACCATTGATACAAGGCAGGATGGATCTATGCGTTCATGTTGTTGACGCCAAATTTTGACCCTACCATCCAAATGTCGAAACAGAAATCAAGACTTATCAGACCAGGTAACACTTTTCCAATCTTATATAGTCCATTTTTGGTCAGTCTTGCGAATTGTAGCCTCGGTTACCAGTTCTTAGCTGACAGGAGTGACACCTGGTGTAGTCTTCTGCTGCTGTAGCCCATCTGCCTCAAGGTTGGACATGTTGTGTGTTCAGAGATGCTCTTCTGCATACCTCGATTGTAACGAGTGGTTATTTGAGTAACTGTTGCCTTTCTACCAGCTGAAACCAGTCTGGCCATTCACCTCTGACCTCTGGCCTCTTCAAGGCATTTGTGCCCAAAGAACTGCTGCTCACTGGATATTTTCTCTTTTTCAGACCATTCTCTGTACACCCCAAAGATGGTTGTACTTGAAAATCCCAGTAGATCAACAATTTCTAAAATACTCAGACCAGCCTGTCTGGCACCAACAATCATGCCACTTTCAAAGTCACTTAACTCACCTTTCTTTCCCATTTTGATGCTCGGTTTGAACTGCAGCAGATCATCTTGAACATGTCTACATGTCTAAATGCATTGAGTTGCTGCCATGTGATTGGCTGATTAGAAATATGCATTAACGAGCAATTGGACAGTTGTACCTAATAATGTGCCAGTTGAGTGTATACAGTTAGAATTATTAAGTCAGAATTATTAGCCCCCCTTTGAAATGTTTTTTGAAATATTTCCCAAATGATGTTTAACAGAGCAAGAAAATGTTCAGTGTGTCTGATTTAATTTAATTCTAATTTTTTCTTCTAGAGAAAGTCTTATTTGTTTTATTTCGTCTAGAATAAAAGCAGTTTTAAATTTTTTGAAAGCCATTTTAAGGTCAAAATTTTTAGGCCCTTTAAGCTAATTCTTTTGATAATCTACACTGTTTTACAATCATTTACCTAATTACCCTATCCTGCCTAGTTAACCTAATTAACCTAAGCCTTTAGATTGCCCTTTAAGCTCAATACTAGTGTCTTGAAAAATATCTAGTAAAATTTATTTACTGTCATCATGGCAAAGATTAAAAAAAAATCAGTTATTAGAAATGAGTTATTAAAACTATTATGTTTAGAAATGTGTTGAAAAAAATCTTCTCTATATTAACCAGAAATTGGGGAAAAAATAAATATGGGGGCTAATCATTCTGATGTATACTTTAAATTTAAATCATCATTTTGTATGCAAAATAGCATTGGTTGGCATGATATTCAAAAAAAAAAAAAAAACAATAGCCAACAACTCTACTAAATGGTGTAAAAACTTTCTCAAGTAAATGCATCTTGATTTAAGGAGGTTTAGATATATTTGTTTAGCACAAAAAAATAGAACTGAAAAAATTACGTTTTAAGTGCATGTCACATTTAAATGGCATCAATTTCTGACTCATTTAAGAACCGCTTAAGCCTTAAGGCCTGAAAGCTCCCATAAAATTAAAACTACCCATATGGTTTTGTTCGCTCACATTGCTAGTTTTGTGGTGAACAATTTATCTGTGTATGTTAAGAAAAAAAAATTGCCCTTCTAATCTTTCATTGAAATCTGAAAGTGTAAATGTCAGATTTGAAAACAAACAGAAATGATGAGGAGGAGGTGTCTGTTAGGTTGTAACTCTCCCCAAATCATTTTACCGATCTTTCTGAATTAAATGCCAACTTTGCTACATCAAATCAGCTCGCATTGGAAAAATAAGCCACGCCCACGGTTTTTTCATTTAAGATTCAGTGCTTCTAAGAACTGCGTCACAATACAGAAAAAAAAAGGTTTTATCTTCCAGTTCATGTGGACTTTAAATTGTGCAAGGATGAATAGAGACTTTAAGACCTACACAAACGCACCTTGATAATTCGTCAATCATACTGACAAGCCTCTGGGCTTCATACTCCTTCTGCTCCTCCGTCATCTCGTCTAGAGGATTTGGCAATGGATCCTCTACGTGACCTGTAATGGGGTTAATGCTGAAAAACACAAAAGAAAAAAGCACTGATGCATGAATGCATAACCAAATGCAGAACATATGCTACTGTACAAAATCATAAAACAATAACTATATTAATGAGAAGTTCCCCTTCGGTTGGGGAACTTCAGTGCCATGAATGGGAGGATTCGGATCAGAAGCCGCTTATCTGGAGAGTATTGAACGGGCCAATGAATGAAATTAATTGGCAGCGTAAGCTTGCGCAGGTGTGCGACATCTGCAATCATCTCAGCATATAAGCACACCTGAAGCCAGCAGACGCCATCCTTTTCGCTTCAGATCCTTTCTGAGTGAGTCGATGAGGGTTCCTCTTGCTGATCAGCACTTCAGAGCGAACGAGTGTGTCTCCCGGTCCAGAGTGGGTCTTCGCGGTGGCAGACGGTCGAGCTGGGTTACTCCCTTGCCTGCGGTTCTTTGGGTCCGGTCCTCCAGAGCGGTGCGTATAGTTGCAACTTTCCTAAAAGAGCAACACAGTCGTGCAGCACGTCCTTTTCAGGATGGCGCTCCGACTGTGCGTTTCTGGATGCGGGGGTTTCCTGTCTCCGGATGATGGACACGATCACTGCATTGCATGTTTGGGGGTCCAGCATGTTAATGCGGTGCTCGCGGGCGGTTCATGTCGTCATTGCGATGCCATGACCGTTGCACAGCTAAGATCGCGGCTAACTTTCGCAAGAGAGCGAGCCACCCCAGTTGCCTCCTGTTCTAAAAAAGCAGCGGGCGCTCGGGCAGATCTGAGGGTTTCAGCGGGAGCTAATCCGCCGCCCACGGGCTCGCGGACCTCTCGCTCCTCACGGCGCTCCATCCAAGCTTCGGGTGGTGAGAGTGATCCGTCTAACCAGATGGTAGCTCTCACACTCGCTGACACCGGAGATCAGATGTCCTCCGCGGCATCGGAGGGTGGGCTTTCACTGTCCGACGAAGATCCGGACCCGCTCGCCCCCTCCGGGCAGGTGAGCGCTGTCAAATCGGATCCTGAAGCGGACATGTTAGCCGTGCTTTCCCGGGCTGCTTCGGCCGTGGGGTTGGAGATGGTTTATCCCCCAGCTCCGCGGCCGGACCGACTAGATGGGTGCTACGTAGAGGACCAGAAGGCGAAGCCTTCGAAGCCTCTCGTCCCCTTCTTCCCGGAAGTGCACAGTAGGCTCACGCAGTCCTGGAGGGCACCTTTCTCTGCCCGTGCTGCGAGTGCCTCCGCCCTCACCGCCCTTGACGGCGGAGCTGCCAGGGGGTATGAGGCGATCCCGTCAGTGGAGCGCGCTATCGCGGTCAATCTTTGTCCGCGCGGCGCCTCTACGTGGCGGGGTTTGCCCCGCCTCCCGTCCAAAGCCTGTAGGTTGTCTGCCTCCCTCGGAGCCAGAGCTTATAAGGCTGCGGGCCAGGCTGCTTCTGCTTTGCACGCGATGGCCACCTACCAGCGCTACCAAGCGCAGGCGCTGGCCGAGCTGCACGAGGGCGGGTCCAACCCAAGCTTATTACATGAGCTGCGCACCGCGACCGACTATGCTCTTCGGACTACTAAGTCCGCCGCGTGTGCGCTGGGGAGGACGATGTCCACACTTGTGGTTCAGGAACGCCACCTCTGGCTAAACCTGGCCGATATGCGCGACGTTGACAAAGTTCGCTTTCTTGACTCGCCCATATCCCAGGCTGGCCTGTTCGGCGACACCGTCGGTGAATTCAAGGCGGTGAAAGAGCAGTCGGATGCGATGGGCAATGTCATCTATCGGCGTGGCCGTAAGCCCGCTCCGCCCGCCGAGCCATCCACCTCCGCTGTTCCTCGCCGAGGGCGCCCGCCAACGAGTGCTGCCCCGCCCCCGCCTGCGCCTCCGGCCAAGCGGGCGCGGCGTTCACCTCGAAAGCAGGCAGCCCCTCCTGCCCAGGGCGCCGTTAAGTCCGGTAAACGGACCGCGAAGCGTCCCTGAGACAGGCCATCCGGAGAAGAGGAAACTTGCTCTTTCCCCGCTGGAGGGCGGGGCCCCGATAACAACGGTACTTTTCAGTGCCACCAAAACATCAGTAAAAGAGCACTTTTTCCCTTCCCCGGATGTGACTGCACGAGTTCTGCCAGTCCGGGACGCGCTGCCTTCCGGCTCGCAGACTCTACGTGCTTCGCCAGTGGCTCACGAGCGCTGGGGGGACGGTCTCCCTTCCCTCAGCCCTCCAGCCCCCTCTCCGGAGTCAGGGTGCGGAGCCAGAGCGAATCGCTCTCCTCCAGCTTTTCCGCGGGACCCTCGTGCTTCCCGGATCAGCACACCCACTCCGCGCTGCCCCACCGCTGGTACGTCAGCGATTGTAGCGATGACTCCATTAGCGAGGGCTCTGCCTGCCTGGTTAGCGCGGGCCAGCCCCTCGCGGTGGCTCATACGCACAATCAGACTCGGTTACGCGATTCAGTCCGCGAAACGGCCCCCCAAGTTTACGGGCGTGTATTTCTCCAGGGTCAACCCCCTGTCCGCCCCTGTCTTGCGAGAGGAGATTGCTGCCCTCCTGGCGAAGGGTGCAATCGAGCCGGTTCCTCCAGCCGAGATGGAGAGTGGGTTTTACAGCCCATACTTCATCGTACCCAAAAAGAGCGGTGGGTCACGGCCAATCCTAGATCTGCGCGTTTTGAACCGCTGTCTGCACAAGCTGCCGTTCAGAATGCTCACGCAGAGGCGCATTCTCCAATGCGTTCGTCCTCGGGATTGGTTTGCAGCCATAGACCTGAAGGACGCGTATTTCCATGTCTCCATTCTTCCACGCCACCGCCAATTTCTGCGGTTTGCGTTCGAGGGTCGAGCGTGGCAGTACAAGGTCCTCCCCTTCGGGCTCTCTCTGTCTCCGCGGGTCTTCACCAAACTCGCGGAGGGTGCCCTAGCGCCCCTTCGGCTCGCGGGCATTCGCATACTCAATTATCTCGACGACTGGCTGATTTTAGCCCACTCGCGGGAGCAATTGATTATGCACAGGGACGAGGTGCTTCGGCATCTCCGCCTACTGGGGCTTCAGGTCAACCGAGAAAAGAGCAAACTCGCCCCCGTGCAGAGGATTTCTTTTCTCGGGATGGAGCTGGACTCGATCACCATGGTAGCGCACCTCTCCGAGGAACGCGCTCGCCTGTTGCTGAACTGTCTGAGGGAGCTCGACAGCAAACTAGTGGTCCCACTGAAGTTCTTTCAGAGGCTCCTGGGGCATATGGCATCCGCAGCCGCCGTCACGCCGCTCGGGTTGCTCCATATGAGACCACTTCAGCACTGGCTTCACGATCGGGTCCCCAGACGCGCATGGCACGCGGGCACACACCGGGTCTCGGTTACTGCGCTGTGTCGCCGCGCCCTCAGCCCTTGGAACGACCCCTCGTTCCTACAGGCCGGTGTGCCTCTAGGACAGGCGTCCAGCCATGTTGTTGTTTCAACAGACGCTTCCAACACGGGTTGGGGGGCCGTGTGTCGCGGGCATGCGGCTGCGGGCCTCTGGAAGGGTGCCCAGCTGCATTGGCATATCAATCGCCTAGAGCTGTTGGCAGTGTTCCTCGCTCTCCACCGCTTTTTACCGGTGCTGGAGCGGCAACACGTGCTGGTCAGGACGGACAGTACGGCGGCGGCGGCGTATATCAACCGCATGGGGGGTATGCGCTCTCGCCGCATGTCTCAGCTCGCCCGCCGTCTGCTCCTCTGGAGTCACCCGCGGCTGAAATCGCTGCGCGCCATTCACGTCCCAGGCACGCTCAATCGTGCAGCCGATGCGCTCTCACGACAGCTGTTACGCCCTGGAGAATGGAGACTCCACCCCGAGTCTGTTCAGCTGATATGGGCGCGATTCGGGGAGGCCCAGATCGATCTGTTTGCTTCCCCCGAGAACGCTCACTGCCAGTTGTTTTTTTCCCTGACCGAGGGCTCTCTCGGCACGGATGCACTGGCCCACAGCTGGCCTCGGGGCATGCGCAAGTATGCGTTTCCCCCAGTGAGCCTGCTCGCGCAGTTTCTGTGCAAGGTCAGGGAGGACGAGGAACAGGTTCTGCTAGTTGCGCCCCTTTGGCCCAACCGGACCTGGATATCAGAGCTCTCACTCCTCGCGACGGCCCTCCCCTGGCGGATCCCTTTGAGAGAGGACCTACTCTCTCAGGGACAGGGCACCATCTGGCACCCTCGCCCCGATCTTTGGAACCTCCACGTGTGGTCCCTAGACGCGAGGAAGACTTAGGTAACCTACCGACTGCGGTGGTTAATACCATCACTCAGGCTAGAGCCCCCTCCACGAGGCGCGCCTACGCCCTGAAGTGGAGTCTATTCACTGAATGGTGCGTCTCTCGCAGAGAAGACCCCCGAAATTGCCAGATTAGTGTTGTGCTCTCTTTCCTTCAAGAGAAGTTGGACAGCAGGCTGTCGCCCTCCACTCTCAAGGTTTACGTGGCCGCCATCTCCGCTTATCATAGCGCGGTAGCTGGCGGCACCGTGGGAAAGCATAACCTGGTCATCCAGTTCCTTAGGGGTGCTAGGCGAATTAATCCATCTCGCCCCCCTCTCATGCCCTCTTGGGATCTCGCCCTCGTTCTCACGAGTCTGCGATCCGATCCCTTTGAGCCACTCGAATCAGTATCTCTAAGATTTCTGTCCCTGAAGACAGCTCTGCTGGTTGCGTTGGCCTCCATCAAGAGGGTCGGGGACCTGGAGGCATTTTCGGTCAGTGACTCGTGCCTGGAATTCGGGCCGGATTACTCTCACGTTATCCTGAGACCCCGCCCCGGTTATGTGCCCAAGGTTCCTACCACCCCCTTTAGAGATCAGGTAGTGAACCTGCAAGCGCTGCCCCCGGAGGAGGCAGACCCAGCCCTTTCTTTACTTTGTCCAGTTCGCGCTCTGCGCATTTATGTGGACCGTACTCAGAATTTTAGATCATCTGAGCAGCTCTTTGTCTGTTATGGCGGTCGGCAGCAGGGAAGTGCCGTATCGAAACAAAGATTATCCCATTGGATTGTGGATGCCATTTCACTCGCTTATTCGAGTCGAGGTCAGCCGTGTCCCCCGGGAGTACGTGCACACTCCACTCGGAGCGTTGCATCCTCTTGGGCGCATGCACGCGGCGCCTCTCTAACAGACATCTGTAGAGCTGCGGGCTGGGCGACACCCAACACATTTGCAAGGTTTTACATTCTGCGAGTGGAGCCGGTTTCCTCAAGGGTATTAGGTAACCCTTTGGTGATTGAGGAGACAACTCGGTAGGGTGTTGAAACACGCTTGCTGCGCCATTCTCCCTAACACGGAGGTACGTGCGCCTTTTTTATCTGTCAGTAAAGTTCCCCGTCAGGTGAGCCCTGCAGATTCCTCCGTGGCCCCCAGCACTGACTCAGCGGAGGAGTCACTTGCTGGCCCACTACGTTGTAGGTCTGCCCGCTGGTCAGCCCGCGTTTTGGGTATAGGTGCCTGCTATGCGTGATCCCCACTAGGCGATCCCATATGCTTATTCCGCCACGGTTAAGTCCCCCCCCTGGGCGGACCCGTGTCTTCCCTCTCCGCTAACCACTCTTTGCTATGCGTACTCCCCCTTTTTAGGGCTAGTCCATAGGTAAATTCTGCCATCTATCCCCCCCTTGGGTAACGGATGGCCTCCGCAGCGTCCTCCCTATCGGGATTGCACGCTTCCCAACGTACTGTCGTATTTCCTAGAATTATCTAGATGCTCACGACTTCCCAAAAAATATATCTAAATCCGTAAAACTTCTGTTGAAGTAGGATAAATTAGGGCCAGGGACACGTTGGAGGACCGCGCCCCCCATGATGTGGGTGCGTCACGCTTGCTTGACTATCTCCTCATCGGGGGTGTTGGTAAGGTGCAGTCATTATGGCGCTTTCCATATTCTCCCATTCATGGCACTGAAGTTCCCCAACCGAAGGGGAACGTTCGAGGTTACAGAAGTAACCCTTCGTTCCCCGAGGAGGGGAACGGAAGTGCCATATTCCGTCGCCATAATGACTGTCCCTTAGCTGTTTGAAAGTCTCTTCAGCTTAAAAGGATGGCGTCTGCTGGCTTCAGGTGTGCTTATATGCTGAGATGATTGCAGATGTCGCACACCTGCGCAAGCTTACGCTGCCAATTAATTTCATTCATTGGCCCGTTCAATACTCTCCAGATAAGCGGCTTCTGATCCGAATCCTCCCATTCATGGCACTTCCGTTCCCCTCCTCGGGGAACGAAGGGTTACTTCTGTAACCTCGAACGTTATGCATACACAAAAAGGCACTTACAATGGTTTGACGGACTTGTACTCCTCAGTGTCAGAGTCTTCATCAGATGAGTACTGCGTCTCTCCTCTACCTCCGGCCAGCAGCCCTCGTGCCATCAACAGCCCAGCAGCATTGCCATATCCAGTGTACTTCAGCAGATTATCCACTGCATCACGGGGGAAAGAATGAGCAAAGCATAAAATTATTTTTTTACTTGGTTAAATAGCATAAAGTCACAAATCACAGTTCGAAATGTATAAAAGAGATGGTGTCAGGGATAATCAACACATTTTCATGCCAGGTGTCATAACCAAAATAATTTTTGACAGAATTGTCACAAGATGATTAGTTACAACAGTTCTATAAGGCATATTTGACTCCTAAATGATAAACATTTTAAGGAATACAGTGTGTTATCTGAGGTAACGCACACAAAAGATGGTGTTGCAAATTACCAGTGCCACGATGAACACTGCAATATTATAGGGACTGTGTTTGTTGTATCAGTTTTTTTGTGCAGCCTTTGGATAAAGATACAGAGTAAAGACTGCAGTGAGTTGAACTGACCGAAAATAGCAATTTAAAGCATACAGAAAACTTCACACAGAGCACGGGTCCTTTATGAAGTTGAGCAATACAGAGAATCCATTGTACAAGGCTTATTTCGACACAACCACAGTTTCTATGATTATGTGCAAAATATAATCAGTTTGATTAATACAGTTTAATAATGATATCACCTACACCCTCAACATGACATAAATGGGTAAATACACTATAGTTTTACAATAAGAAGGGAAAAAAGAAACTGGGAATTTTCAAGTGGTCTCTTGATTTTTCCATCTTTGTGTATAAGCAGACAAGTCATAATAAATGATTGAGCGAGATCAAGGAGAACAGAAAATATTAGGATATCCCTAATACAGATAAAGACAACATTATTAGCCCTACTGTCAAATGTTTATTATTTTCAAGTGATGTTTAAAAGAACAAAAGATCACAATATTATTCATTGTATTTTTCTTCTGCAGAAAAACATATTTCTATAATTTTTAGCTGGAATAATAAAAATAAACATTTGTAAAATGTAAAAACCGCTGAAGTCAATGTCAATAGCCCCTTAAGATTTTTTTTACGATTAGCTACAGAACAAACCACTGCTGTCCAATGACCTAGTTATTCTAGATAAGCATATTTAAATTGCATTTTTTTACTAGTATCTTACAAAATAATAAATACAGTTCATCTCAGTCGCTTTGGTACATTTCTCAGATCAGAATTGAAATTCTCAAAACTACCTGTTCACTCTTCAGCAGATCATGGTGTCAATTTTTTGAACAAGTTGCAAATGCTTTTGTACATTCATGTTAATCATTATGTACAATTATCAGACGTTTCCTGCATTATCAATTGCTTATGTCATGTTGATCAAAATGTTTTATTTTTGTCTCAGCTGAATTGTATTTACAGCATTCAATTGTTTGTTAAGAGCTTAAACAAGCTGTCATAATATTTTGTCATATTGAATTTTTCTATACATTTCTATCAACTTTTTTCTAGATCTGTCTACAACTGGTACATTTCTTCCAGGTGAAACTTGACTTTTTCTAATGAAGGTGCATCTAAAAGGAGATTGTTGTTTACATTTCTACTTTTGTTTTGTTTTGTCTTTGTGCTATGCAGTGCTTTATTTTTCTTTTTTTGTATCACAATGACATGATCTGTCAACAAATTACAATACAAACAGCTGCTAAAATTTACAATCGAACACCCCTCAAGAGTACACTGTTAAATTGACAACATGACCAAGTTATTATGACCAAGTCTTATCGGTACACAATGACACAAAGCACTGACATGTTCATTGACATAGAAATATAGTTGATGAACTAAAGAAAGAAATAAGGGATGAACTAAAGATTTTGAGCAGAGGACGGTTTTGCAGTTAATGCATGGTATTTTGCTATCTGTATACGTTGTTTGAAATTTGCAAAACAGTAAGTGCATTTCTCCATTTCTGATCTGAACAATGTAGCAAAGCGACTGAGAAACACTGTAATATGCGCTCTTAAAAATTTAGTATGAAAACTATTATGTATAAAACTGCACCATTATGAAGCAGAACTTACCACTCTCCTTGCAGAGCACAAACAGGAACTCAGCAGCCCCCTGTTTCACTGCCATGTCTACATGCGTCATAAGACGCACCAGTTTGTTTCGAATGGTGTCTCCAATTTCTGGCCTTTCCTTCACATCCTTCAGAGGAGGTAAGATCTGTACAAAGAGTACACTTTTAATCAGCAACTAAAGACTCTTTAACTCAATAATTAAAGTGCAAAAGAAAATGAAGAGTCGCATAAATACGCTCGTTCCTTTGAATAAAGAAAATTCTATAAATAGTAGTTGATGGCCACTGCTTAGTCAGATCACATTAAAGAGAATCAAAATCGAAAATTGCTGCATCAAGACACAAATATTTGAATGATTTACACATGAATCAGTGTGTGAGATTGGACAGGGATTTAAACATTACAATCAGGATTTTCAATAGCATTACAGCACACTGCCAGAGTACAATCCCTGACAAAAGTCTTGTCATTGATCCCAGTTGTAAAAGCAACAAATAATAACTTGACTTCTAGTTGATCATTTGAAAAGTGGCAGAAGGTTGATTTTTCTGATGAATCATCTGTTGAACTGTATCCCAATCATCACAAACACTACAGAAGACCAATTGGAACCCGCAGACCCAAAATTCTCACAGAAATCGGTCAAGTTTGGTGAAGGAAAAATCATGGTTTGGGGTTACATTCAGTATGGGGGTGTGCGAGAGATCTGCAGAGTGGATGGCAACATCAACAGCCTGAGGTATCAAGACATTTGTGCTGCCCATTACATTACAAACCACAGGAGAGGGCAAATTCTTCAGCAGGATAGCGCTCCTTCTCTTACTTCAGCCTCCACAAAGTTCTTGAAAGAAAAGAAGGTCAAGATGCTCCAGGATTGGCCAACCCAGTGACATTATTGAGCATGCCTGGGGTAAGATGAAGGAGGAGGCATTGAAAATGAATGCAAACAATCTTGATGAACACTGGGAGTCCTGCAAGAACACTTTCTTTGCCATTCCAGATGACTTTATTAATCAGTTATTTGAGTCATTGCAGAGATGTATGAATGCAGTCCTCCAAACTCATGGGAGTCTTACACAATATTCATTCTTTTTCCACTGCACCATGACTTTATATTGTATACTGTACATTATTTCTGTTGAGTGACAAGTCTTTTGTCAAAGTCAGACCTTACTGTCCTAATTAAATAATTAAAAATCAAGACATAATCATATTTTATTTTGGTAAAATAAGCGTAATCTAGAGGCCTTTGCCTTTCATATAAGCCACTTCTGATACACAATGATCAACTAGAGGTCAAGTTATTTGCTGTACCTAAAACTTAGATAGAGGACAAGACTTTTGTCACGTAGTATATAATAGCACCATTTGGCATCTGATAGAGCATTTGGACCAAGAAACTGTAGCTGTCAACAACAGATTTAACAGATCAGTGCATTACAGTGTGCATGGACTCAAGCGTGCACCTGGGCCTTGATGTATCTGCGGATCTCCCTGTGGTATCTAGCGCTCTCCGTCAACAGACTCAGCACAGGTGTCAAGCCTTCTTTAAAGTTGAACCCCTGAGTGAAGAAACCAAGCATGAGCAAACACTACATGTAGCAGCATGCAATAAAGTCTGCTGTGTTAGACTGAAGTGTAATACCTTGTCTATCCTCTTTATCATAAAATCTAGCAGAATCTGCACCGTGTCCATGTTTTTCCCTCTGTATTTTTCCAGGCCACCTTGGACAGGGACGTCTATCAGGACATCCAGGCACTGAACGGGAAGGTTACTCAAGAGATTTATTGCATGACTAGAAGAGAGGGCACAATAAAATCACAAATGTTAAGCACACAATAAAATGAGAATATAACATGTCTTGGAAAGGAATACTGGACTGTTATGTGAAAGTGTTTTTTGCAGAACAAGCTTTCTCTAGAATTAGTGACGCTGTCTGATAAAACATCACTAATTTGATACAGCATCACAGAATGTTATTTAAAGGGTACCTATTATGAAAATAATCTTCTTTAAGCAGTTTGGACAAAACTGTGTGTAGGTATAGTGTTTTCACAGGTATATTTGAGGTGTTATAAAGGCAAAAAGTTTCTTTTGTTAAAATTCTTGATGTTATAATAGGATCCAAATCCCTCCCATTTTGAGGCCGACCGCAATGTGACCTAGGAGTGTGGTTTTTCTGCCCACCGAATGAATTGACAGCCATGTATTAACATCTCTCTGTAGTAAGACACAGACAAGTACAAGACAGGACGTGTGCAAAGCAACTGGGATTAAAAGATCTGTTCAGCTCACTGTAATCACCAGTCATCATCAAAATGTAGTCAAGAACGAGTTTTACAAGTGTAAAACATTTTAAACAGCAAACAGCAACAGCAACAGCAAAATCTAAAGGGCAGGGTGTGTCCGAATCCACTTTTACTATTTTAACCACAGAAAAATCTGCTTTGCGCCACTGCACATGGTCTAACAGGGTTGAGCTTATTCTCTTAATGAGTTTTAAATGTGTTTTGAGAATAAACTAATCAGAGTTTTATCTCCCATTCACTTTAGGAGTCAGTTGCGTCACGCCATGGGGCATTTGCTATTTACATGGTGGACTTTGTAAGTGGAAAAACTGAACACTTTACAAGCGAGAAAATGGTTAAACAGAGAATCTGCAGCGCAGAGAATGAGAAAATGAGCCTCCTCATTCTTTACCTTCACTTTCTCTCTTGTGGATAAGAAAACCGTTTTGTTTGCACAGACATCCATTAGCCTATAATTAATTTCGTTTGTTCAGAGCAACGATTTGTTTCAAAACTATTTCTAAATTCACTTCAGTTATTTCCAAATACACGTTATGCCCCATAAGGTCTAAAACCTGACAGGTGGGCAAATCTAAGCTTGTTTTTTAATAAAACAAATATTAATATGCATAAAATAAATAATACTACTAATATTAATAACATTATACAAAAGCAAATTGTTATGAATAAACTGAAAAAGTTTAATAAGAACAATAATCAATCAACAACAAAACAGTAATTATTTATACTACTGCTTTTACTTTTTATTAGAAATGTGATTACTGATTACCGTTTAAATGATTGGCAAATTAGTAAAATCCATCAACATGAACAATAATAGGAATAAATATAGCTGCAAGCAACAATTATCTTGGCCAAGCAGCCCAGCAGCCATATCATAAACAAGTACGACAACAAGCTACAGAGGAACTGGAAAATTTTATAAACTTTTTGGCAGTATGGTCAGAGCCAAATTTGGTGGAAATTGGGCTAACGATCTATGGAGAGTTCAAAATAACAGATTTTCAAACTAATTCAAGATGGTGGAAAGGAAGTTAATAAATTAAGGAACAAATTATTTCACGGTTCACATATCAATGATATAAGGAATCTGCAAAACCAGACTCATGACAACAGACAAAACTATTGAAAAGTCATTTTAAAAATTTTGTATGATTTCAATTGATAGAATGTAATTGTTTGTAAATTTTACACATTTTACAAACTGACGTAGTTTGGTCAATGTCAGGTCTAGATCAAACATGACAAGTTTGGTTTCAATACTTCAAACCATTGCAGTGATTCAGCTTGTAATGTCATCTGGCAGCATTGCATCAAATTTGCACATGTGCTAAATGACAATAGTTTTGTCTATCAGCATGAATTCCATAACTTTTGGTCTACATGGTCGAAAGATGTTTTGAGTCAAATTTGGTGAGGATTGGACCAACGGTCTAGGAGGAGTTAAAAAAAGAATGGCTTGAACAAAATCAAAATAGCGGAGAGGAAGTTTTACACAGATTATGGCATAATTGCTATCAGTGATGTCAGCATCAACCAGGAAATAATTTGAAACCAATTTCATCAAAATAAGCAAATGCAGTCAAAAGCTATTACCAAATTTTAAAGTTTCATTAATAATGGCTTATGAATGTCTTATAACTCTTGACACATAGGTGGCGCTGTCACCAAATTTCTATGGAGTGATCAGTATGAGGCAACAATGACAGACCTAAAATTTGATGTTATTATCTTTAACGATAACAGAGATACAGCCTCAGATGTAGTTTAGCATCATGCCATCACATTTGTCGGTAACACCTATCGACACAAATTTGCTAACTTTTTGTCAGCACGGTCTGAAGATGATCTGAGTTAAATTTGGTGCAAATCAGCCAAACGGATGAGTTAAAAAAAGTAAGTTTTGACTTAATGCAAGAAAGCGGACAGGAAATTCAGTTCATTAAGGTATCGATATCAATATTGATATTCTCAGGACAACCCAAGGAAAGCATCAAGGCAAGTTTCATAACAATAGGCAAAATTAGTCAAAAGTTATTATTGTTTTTAGAAATGTCGTTTTAACGTTTGACCAAAAGGTGGCGGTGTGACAAAACCTTTTTTTTTTTTATTATTATTATTTTTTCGGGGTTTTCACCTTTATTTTGACAGGACAGTAGAGAGAATTGACAGGAAAGCATGGGGAGCAGAGAGAGGGGAAGGATCGGCATAGGACCGCAAGGCGGAATCGAACCCGGGTCGCCGCGAGCACTGGAGTGCATATGTCGTAGCACTAACCACAACACCACTGGTGCCGACGTGACAAAACCTTTTAAACACCTTCAGGGCACAGTCCTGAAGACACGTACAGATTTTCATAACAATTCGCCAATATGTGCGTAAAATATAGCAATTTTTGACCAAAATGGCTGGCCTGGGAAAATCAGACATAATTCGTCTCGGCATGCTTGGCCGGAACGACCAATTTTATGTATTTTGGACAAAGGATTAAGAAGTTATAAGCAAAAATATCTATTTTTGTATTTCCCAACCACTAGGGGGGAATGCGCTGAAATACTGTGGCTTATTTCAGATTGTGATTGTGATAACACACACCATGTTTGGTGTGAATACGTCAATGCGTTATGGGGACACAACACCTTAAGTCAATTTTCACAAGCACTATGTTAAATTTGTTGGCAAGTTAAACGTAAATGGTTGGTCTAATCAACTTGACTTCAAAAACCTTTAGTCAGCATGGTCTGTAGATCATATCATTCAATTTTGGTTAAAATTGGACAAATGGCCTAGGGCGAGTTCAACAGGTTTTTTGAAAAATTCGGAATAGCGTAAAAATTTCACAATGGAAAAAGACGTCATAGGGTGCGATTGAATCGGCTTGAGCCAAGAAATCAGAAGAAAATTTTATTTATTTATTTTTTTTCAAATGTTATAATAAAACTTTTACAAGTGGTGGCGCTAGAGAGTCCAAATTTGTTGTGGTTGAAGACTGTCCTCTATCAGTGTGCCAAAGTTTGTGCAAATGCCGCAAGTGGTTCATAGGGCTGCCATAGACTCCCAGAGCGGAAGAAGAAGAAGAAGAAGAGAAAGAAGAGGAAGCCACAAGAATAATAATAAGAACCGGAACGGATACAATAGGTGCCTACGCACCTTTGGTGCTAAGCCCCTAACTACAACAACAATAAATATTTGTTTGCTATTATGATTATCATTAAGCAACATTTAAGAGTCTAACTTGTTGTCAATGTGTATTTGATATTAATTATTGTGCAATTTCTTGCTATCAAAATGGTTGCTATTTTCATCTTTGATTCATGACAAATTTATAATAGTTAAGCTGCATGATTTTTACTGTTATTTAAAAAGTTAGTAAGTTAACTTATCTGTCATTACAATTGTTGGGGCCCTTTTCTAACCTGCAATTTAACCTGCTGTGACTAAATTTCTCATGTGCACCCCTCCAATTGTGTATCTAGTATCATAAAAGCAAACCTCCTCTCACATGTAGGCACCACACACAAATGGATACTAAATATTTATCTGCCTCCTGTGTTTGTTCATTTCATAATCTCCTCTGACGCAAAAGAAAATTCAACACCCATGGCGCATTCCAGGAATGTGATATCGACAAACGAACATGAGCAGGCCTTCTGAAAGCAGAACCTTCAGTCAATTTAAATGACAAAAGAACATCTACTGACCAGGACTGGTTCAGCACATTCAATGCATTTAGGTAATGGGGGAGCATGGAGTTAGTCATTTCAGAGTGCTGTACAATGCATTGAGAGAGAGTTGCATTCCAGCGGTGTGAAAGAGCTGGTGATGGTACCACCGCCAACACAATGAGTCAAGCCCAAGTAAACGGGTAGGAGTTTCAGAATGGAACAGGGCAAAGGGGTGTGCCATTAATCACTTGGAGAGGACATCACATCACTCACATTCACCACACTTGCATTTCTTTAGCTTTCTGGCTCACTGGAATCCTGGTTCTGAAGGATTTATAATGGACACAGGCTTAGTATAGAGAGTGACCTGGATTCGGCTGTCCGTTTGATGGTGTTAAATAGGGCTGCACAATATATCATTTCAGCATCGATATTGCAATGTGCACATTGGCAATAGTCACATTGCAAAGACATGTAATGTCCAGTATGAATTATAGTTGACCAGGAACTACAGAACTGTATTTAATCACTGCATTTGCATGGAATTTACACAAGTTATGCAAAAAAAACATTTTTTATTTAGAATTTTTGTCTTGTTTCTAGTCCAAATATCTACATTTCAAAGTTAAAACAAGACTATTTCACTTACCTCACTGGCTGATCATTTCCTTAAAACAAGCAAAAAAACTCTTAATTTTCACTTACTTCTACTGACGGTGAAAACTAAAACAATATTTTTACTTGGTTTAAGAATTTTTGAATACTTGGACTAGAAAAAATAGACAATAAAAAAGCAAGAAAAGCATTTTTTTTGCATGGTGATTATTCAATACTGTGATTATTCAATACTGAATACTGTTAGCCCCCCAGAGAACATCAAATAGTGCTATTCAAACCATCTTTTGGGGGGGGGGGGGGGGGGATGGCAATATCAGATTTTTCCAATAACGTGCAGCCCTAGTTTGGAAGTACCTGTGAGTCTCCTCAGTTTTTTCTTCAGTGTGTGTTTTCAGCATTAGGAGGTGTCTCATGATGCCTGCAATCAGCCGAAGTTTGTGGAGACTGTCCTATTCAAATAAAAGGGAAAATGATGTCAGTGTTCATTTTCACAGTGCATTTGGGGCAGCTTTTAAAAAGGAAAATACCAAAACAATTTTGAGCTTTAAAGAAAATTTTGCCAAAAGCATTTTTTTTAATCTAAAGTTATAGTAATGTAAATAAATAACTCTGAAAATAAATAAAGAATATTATTTGTATGAAAATAAAAGGTACAGAAGACGGATTTATTTTGTTTAAAAACTCTTACTAGTAATAATAATAATATGTTTTGATATTTTGCTAGAAATAGATATGCTAACTTCAAAAGAACTATCAGAAAGTAAGCAGTAAAATTTATTTGAAATTTGATAGAAATACTCTGATACAGAGTTTAGAACTTGATTTACAAATAACAACCTGACAGCTTTGAGCCAATGAAAAGATCTAGGGACTGAAGGAATCATTGGCTTGAGAAAAAGAAAGGGCATCTTAAGGCAAGGTGATCAGGGCCATACAGAAACAAACAAAAGGTCGAGCAATTGAGACACACTTAGCCTAACTTCAGCACTCTTAAGAACTCTGGAATGCACCAGGGCTGTTCCATATACTTGCTCTAAGAATGGGGGCTAGAGCTTTAAACTGTGAGCTGTTCTTTCCCATAAAAAAATGCAACAATGTTTTGGGTGGTTCTTCAATAAATGCAGTACATTACCTGAACACATAAAAATTCAGTGTGTTAGATTTTCTGTTTTTCCATCCACCAGGCAAAAAATTAATAAAAATCACACATCCAATCTTTTAAAACCTCTCTATACAAAAAAATAAATAATTGATTGAGAAATCGATTCTGCATAGATTCAAAGAATTTCAAAATGTCACACTATTCTTGCTTGAATCAATTCTAGTTTTAAACAAGAGATTGCACACAAGCTTTTTAAACAACTGTACTCTGATTGCATCCAATTGCTTACAAATACTAATTAAACCTAAAATAATCTTTAATAAAGTTATGAAAGGTTTAAGCAAACTACGGGGATGTTTATATTAAGTTGTGTACAATAATCTTGTGACATAAAAGCCAACTTACATGACTCAACTGAACACACAATCGCTCTTTATTGTGGGCATCAAAGTGAAGCAGTCAGTCAAGTTTACATTATTTTGTAAATTGGTTTCTACTTTACTGAAATTATATTAAACAAACTTGATTAATGTAACCATTTTGAAGAAAACGGTATGTTTTAGGTGCCAATCACACCAACACGCTTTTTGCGTTGAGAGGCGCCTTTTTTGAATGATTTACTGATGGCAGCGAGCGTTTTGCGTGCTGCTAATGCGCCCTGCACGCCTTGCGTTTTAAGCACCTACTGCGCTTACTGTGTTACGTCAGTGGCGTCTTTTTCATTGTCCAATCAAATGAAAGCAGAGGCAAGGTTTCCGTTGATGATGTGCCAGCAGTGTTTGTGTTGTCATGACAACAACGGAGCCTTTTGAAGATGGAGGAGACTTGTGGTTGCTGTTTTGGGTTATCCAGAGCTGTATGACTTCACAAATCTTGAATATCACAATATTGTTAAATATTTAAATTATATTAATATCAAAAGCATCACTCTCGCACAATACTCAACTGATTCAGTTGTTGCCTAGTGACATAAAAAGTTTTTCAGGTGAACAAAAAAGGCAGTGAGGTGCACCTCGCATTTTTGGAACGTAAATGCGCGTTCGGTTTGATCAGCCCCTTACTATTGTTTTTAGAGCTAGGGTGCCGCCATCTTGGAATATCGCTGTGTCTGACGTCACAGGGTTGGTGAACAGATAAATTAAAAGTAATGGCCTTCCACTTTAAGTACACAGTTAAAATCTATCTGCTGTTAAAAACTAGGCTAAGAGTGGATTCAAAAAAGAATAGCGATGCATTTTGAAAATCTCAGAATCTATGCAGAATCAATTTCTCAAACTATTTTTTGCCACAGCTCTATTGAGCATGCACGCTGTAAAATATAATATACTTTGAAAGTGTTTTGAAGGTGCATTCAACAATGTGTGCATGCTAACTTATGCATAAAATAGTACAATTTGGAGTTGAATAATATAGCAAGTTCGACACCACAGAATAGATACTAGATTATATTGCTGTTCTACACATACTGACACTCTCACCTTATCACAGGAATCAGACATGGTGAGGTTGAACAGGGCTTTGAGGGCTTCCATGGTAAGCTCGTTGTTTTCTGGTGGAATGGGTGGAGCTTCTGGATCAGGAGGTGCAGCCTCATATGGCCCAACCCAACGCACATCAAGAGTGCGTTCCAACACATTAGTGAGTAGTTTCACCGCGCCTGCCTCCTTCTGAAGCGTGGAGCGCACATCCGTCCGCAGAGCCGAAAGCAAAAACAGCAGCCGGAGGGAAAATAAGCCCACTTCATGATGTGACGCGCTGACCAAATGCAAGCGGGGGCATAGGCCTTCCGCTAACTGCAAGTCACCTCCCATCTGCTGTGCCGGCACGCTATTGAACACTACGTTGCACAGGCACTTAAGGGCCTCCACCACAACCCTCTCCTCTTCTGCTGACTGCGCCTCCTCTAATGGCTCGCCTTCATGGCCCGCCACACAGATCCGGGCAAGTCCTGCTAAAGTAAGCATTCCTTCTTTGGTGGCTACGGGTCCAAGCACATGCTTGTCTCTGGACAAGATGCGCAGGGTCTCCAGGCAGGTGCTTTGGCAAAGTGGAAGATCTGACCGACGGAGGACTGTAAGAAGACCCTGACATAATTTCTGCAAACAAGACAAGAAAGACGAAGTGCATTAAAATGTGAATAACTTAGAATGGAAATATGTTTATGAAATAATAACCTTAATGTCAACAACAACAAAGGAAAATGATTGATTTGGCACCAACAGATCATCGTATAGAGCACAGCTGTCCAGTTCCTGAAGAGCTGCAGCTCTGCACAGCTTAGTCCCAACCCTAATTAAACACCCCTGATCAAACTAATTGAGTCCCTCAGGCTCGTTTGAAACCTACAGGTAAGTGTGTTAAAGTAGGGTTAGAACTAAACTGTGCAGGGCTGCGGTCCTCCAGCAACTGAGTTTGACACCCCTGAGCAGCGGTTCCCAACAGGGGGGTTGCGGCCCACAAAGGGGCCTCAGAGAATTTTGTGTGTGTGTGTGTGTTCAATTCTTCAATTCAATTCTTAGAAGTGGACAATTAGCAGGATCATTTTGCCTTAGTTCATTTTATTCCCTAGCTCAGTGGTCCTCAACCACCGGTCCATGGATCAATTGGAATCGGGCCGCACAAGATACCATTAATTATTTCCGTTTTATTTATTATCTGAGTCTGAACTATCCTTTATTTTGAAAAGTCTTTTTTTTTTTAAAAATGAGCGTATTCTCGTGCTTGCGTCTTGGTCGGTCACTTGAGCACCAAAATTTAACCCACCACAAGGGAATAAGGTGAAGCTTCAGGCCCGGAGACCCAACTACACGCTCAGACCTGCTCACACAGACCTGCACTTTCAGACCTATGGTTTTCTCAGACAGTGCCACTTGCTGTTGGGTTGGGTGAAGCGGCAGGTACGGAGAGTCGGAGACCCAACTGCTAGCAAGTAGCAACATCAGACACGCCAGTATAAGGTTTTATTAAGGGGATTACTGAAAATTACCAGGTTTTATGGCATAAATCAATGTGGTGTAAAATAATACACTAACAAACAATAATTTCAGTGTTTGATTTGATCAAAATTAGTGCCAAAAGATAGCATTATTTTATGATATTTACAACTTATTTTCAGTGTTATTTTACCATTCTGGGACAATTTTCTAGCAATGTTTTCTGGCAAAAAAAAAAAACGTTAAAGTAAAAATGTTAAAACAAATGTGTTATATATAACGCGATTATTATTTGAAAGATATTTTAGTGCTATGCAGGTCTGCAGTACAGTAGATTCAGTTCAGTAGATCTGTAGATTACTGTTTTATCGATCTGAAAGTGCTACCAAAGACAATAACAGTAACCCAATAGTTTATTAATTATTAATAAGTTCTGTAATGATTAGAAATAAGTTTTTGGAAATCAAAATATCTGCATAGAATTTACAATATGAGCTCTCTAAGGTTAAAGCAAAAATTATTTGCTTGTGATGTTTATTTTTTTTCCCAGATTGATATTACAATTCAAAAAGGGGGTCTCTGCCAACACTGACACAGTGCAGATATTTCCACTGTTTTTTGCTCGTGAAAGGAAAAATCTCCCCAACAAGAATGTAAAGAATTTATTTTATTTGATGTTGTTTTATTCAATTATTATTTTGCACCAATTTTCTCTGCATTGTTTACAGCTTGATGACTTGTAGAACCTCATGAAAAAGTATACAAAAATAAAGTTTGTTGTGAGAATTACCCAGAGTACTATAATTTATTTTATGTGAAGAAATTTATTGTATATGAAGATAATATTCATTCCCTCAACTCAATTCAAAAAGGTGATAAATCCTTATAATGATAAAAAACAATAAATGTCTGAAAATATTAAAGTAACTGAACAATATCTATTTACAAATACAATTAATAAAAATACAACAGAATTAATGCATTAAATCAAAATCTAGTATGTTTAATATTTAATGTAATAATGTATTCAATCATAACGTGATTTTTTATAGTAGAAAAATAGTTTAAGTTACAATTTATAAGGAGCTGAATTCAGGTTAGTCAATCTTTTAAACAGCAGGTGGCACTGGAAGGTCTGGAAGTGCAGGTCAACCCGTCTGAGCGTGCAGGTCTGAGCGTGTGGTTGGGTCTCCGGGCCTGCAGCTTCATATTGTTGCCACAAACAGCAAAATTAGCAAGAAACAGGAGCCTTTAGAAAGTTTCTTTGCTAAAGGAAAAAGGCCCAGTGAAGGACCCCCGAACTGCCAAGGAATAGATCCGCAACCCACTTGTCAACAGACCCAGTGAATCAACCAAGGCTGTGCAAAAACATCAACAGATGGAGATTGCAAATGACGGCGGCATATTGCGTATTTCTAGAGTTTGCACAAGTTTGTTTCCAATGGGTGTGCGCTATGCTCTCAGAGTGACACGCTTGCACCAATAAACCCCAGGCCGCGACACGAGCGCACCGCGAGTCATGTGACAAGATTTGAGCAATCAGCTTCAGCTTGTATGGAATATTCCCATTTCGGTAAGATTAATTTACAATTTTCACAGACAGACACAGAACACCCAGTCACTGCAGTGCTTTTTACTTTTCTTCATAAATAAAACTTGTATCAGGGTGACAGCAATGTTTTGTCTATTTAGGCTATTATTCATTCATTCATTTTCTTTTCGGCTTACTCCCTTTATTAATCCGGGGTCGCCACAGCGGAATGAACCCTCACCATATCCAGCAAATGTTTAATGCAGCGAATGCTCTTCCAGCTGCAACCCATCTCTGGGAAACTTTAGGCTATTATTTGTGCATAAACATATCTAAATATAGTAATTAAAACACCGCTTGTTTGAACAAAATTTTTTGTCATCATTACTGCAAACTTTTATGAACGATTATATCATTACATGCGGAGTGAGGCCTTACAATATTTTCTGGGGAAAAGGGGGGTCTCAGGCAAAAAAAGGTTTGAAACCACTGCACTAGAGGACCAATCTCATCAACAATTCACATGTTGTTTTAAATGTCTAATCCTATCATGAAAACTATTTTACATCTCATGTGTTTGTGTTCCCAAACATTAGCCATCATCTGCAAATACTAGTTATCATGATAGCATTTGTTACTGTGTCATTATGACATATCAGTGCATATTAAGGCACAAGGTATTTCAAGAGTTCACACTTAGATATGCTTGGCATTAATAGCAGGTTTGGCATGCTGTCCGGGGCTTGGAGATAATTGAGCCCAGGGCTCCCGCCTGGTCAATAAGCATATAAAGGGGGTCAGAAATCAGGTAAGTCTTAAGAGGTCCCCTAAGAAAATGGAGGGAAAGGAGGAAATGGGGTGGAAGGGGGGGATTCTTCTAAAATGAAGATATGAAAAATCGGTCTATTTATTGTAAGCTTGGATCAATCTGATTGGATTATTACTAACTACTGATGAGAACCAGCCCTGCTCAATATCATGTGCTCCTTTCAAAATTTGTTTGAAACTTCGCATAAGATGAAGGAAAAGTTGTTTTGCGGCAGTTCAATTATTGTTAACTGTTAATGCACTAATTTCTTGAACACTAGAGATGGAACTGGTGCTTTATTCACCAACTATGCTTACAATATTCCAGTTTTTGTATAAGCTATTTTAAGCGTACGCTTATATACAGTGTTGGGGAAAGTTACTTTTGAAAGTAACGCATTACAATATGGAGTTATTCCCCCCAAAAATAACTAATTGTGTTACTAAGTTACTTGTTGTGGAAAGTAGTGCGTTATATTACTTTTGTGTTACTTTTCTTTACCTGCAGAAGTTTGATCTCTTTCAGAACTTGCAGGTGTTTTTTATATATAGATGCTTTTTTTTAATAGAGAAGCTCTGCATTTAACAAACACCTATTTAACGTACACCTTTATTTTCCTTTAAAAAAATGTAGGATAAAATTATATTTTGAGAACTTTCTGAGCCCAGAGCTATACATGATGTACAGATGAATGAAAGCACATCTCACATTTTGTGTTATTAGTTAAGTAAATTTACTGTCCATTGACATAACAATTGCAATAAAACCTAAGAGTAAGCTACAAACATAAAAATTATTAATATAAAGGAAACAAAAAACAGACTTTAAACCTTCAAAATGTTTAATAACCAAATGAAGAGTAAGACGATAAAAACACCTTCAAATCAAAAGAAATCTTTGAGATTTATATGTTGAATAAATTGCTTCACATGGCCTTAACAAATTTGATTGAACAACTTTACAAATTGTGATTGAACAATCACATTTTCTGTTTGATAATATCAAATAAAAAAATGGTAAATTACATATGACCCCCACTTTACAGGTATAGTTTTAACAACCTGAAAACAACAATCAGGAAAACAAAAACACTTGAAACAGAGTGGAGTTATTAAGGTCCTTTTAACACTTGGTTCAATTGTCTGAACCGTAGTCAAGTTCAATTGTCCCCCTTTGACACCTTCTCGGTTAGTTTGTGTTCACACTGTCTTTTTTACGTCTGAACCCCGGAACGCATGCATCATAGAGCTGCTGTTGTGTACTGCTGTTGCTAGGTGGTGGACACGAAAGCAAAGCGCCAAAATGGAAAGACGTCCACACTTCGCGGTCGTTCTGCTTTTCCTGGATCTTTTGGTTTTGGACATTCAGAAAGCGTCTCGCGTCTATCAGCCGCAAAAATATTATAAATGTTCAGAACATAACGCAATGTCTGCAGAAGCGATGGTTTGTTGTACTCTTGGCGGTTCACTTCCGTTATTTGGTACGATTGCATTTATATCAGAAGTGAACTGCACCAGAGTTTGCGCGAATCGTACCCCAGACCACCTCTTCCAGGCGAACTCGGGTACGGTTCGTGGGTGTGCACCCGAGTTCAGAAGACCTGTTCACACAAGCTAAACATACTGCATTCTGAAGTCAAACGAACACGGGTGTTGATCAAAAGTGCTAGTATGAAAGGACCCTTTTTTGCTGTCTTGTTGATTTCTTAATATGGCTTGATTGCTTGCTCATATTTCAGCATCAACACTAAAATCATGTCAGATTTTTTGACAAGAAATAAAAACTACAACTACATTGTCTCAAGTAGCGGTGTGTTTGTGGATACTTTTGTATTAAAAAACACACTTACCACAAAACATTGAGACATGTGCATTACGAAATATTGATATATTGCAGAAGCCTAGTAGTGCTTGTTGTAAATAAAGGGAGGCAGATACCAATATGGCAAGAAACATAAGTCATTGTGCAATCAAAGTAATGCATAAATCTGTTACTCACAATTCGTGCACCCTCCTCCTCGAGGTCGAAGGCAAACGTGCGACTGTTCTGAAATAGAATGTAAACATGGCATGAGAATGTATAAATTCGAGATGAACAGATCCTATGCTTGGTGACATTCTAAAACCATATATGGATCAGTCTCAAACCCTAGAGTATAGGCAGTGAGTAAAAAAAATACAAAAACAAATCACCAGTCCTGCAAGAAAGTTGAGCTGGTAACCAGTTTAAGCAGGTTGATTAGCTTTAATGTTCCATAACCCAGCACAACCATTTTAAAGCAAGACAATAGTACCATGTTTTAACCATTGTTTTTAATTCACTTGCCAATTTTTTGATTTTCGACTGTTTTGCTTAAAGTGTTCGATTACACTTCATTTATTCTCTTGTGTAGATTTCAATTATTATTCAAATATGAATTTCAAGGTAATTATTTTTTCCATGCATGAATTTTCAGTCGCATTGTACACCAAACTTTGCAATTTTAATCTATTTTTTTATATTTAAAAGGCCTAACATATTTAATTTTTCATTCTAAAACCTAAAAAAAAAAACATTCTCCACTAGCTGGTAACAATATTTTCTGATTGAAAAATTGATCAGAGAGAGCAAAAATTGTTTATTAAAGAGATAAAAAACCTAAAATTTCTAATAATTTACTCACCTTCAACCAACTGAGGATTTGTTTTTCAAGGCAAAAATTTAGCAAATAATGTTAAGTAATGTCATAAGTCCATGGTGTATCATATGGCTGCACAATTTTGTTCCATCATTCCAAAATCGTTTCAGCATCGATATTGCAATGTGATCATTCGCAATAGTCACATCGCGAATGCATGTAATGTTGAGTTTGTATTAGAATTTATCATTTGCATGTGTTTTTGATGCATGTGATTGTATAATGATTTTAAAAGCATATAGGCTGAAGAAATTGTATCATTTCTGCCTTTACCAATGATTATTTTTATCATTTAATTACTGTACTTGAATACTGTTAGACTCTGTAAAAGATAAAACTCTTTATCTCAAGTGTATCTTTTTCTTGATTCTATTTATAGATTGTTATGCATGAAAATACAACACATGCAAGTACAGAAATGCAAATAGCACAGACTAAAATGAAAATGTGTTGGGGGACCCCAAAAGTTTATAGATTGTTTATTAGATTTTATGGGGATAAGACTTCCACTGTGAATCATCCTAATCAATCTAACATTATAAACTCTTTCCAAATAGACATATTCAAGTTATCTGGTGAAATTGTATTCATAATCGCAATATTTAATCGCAAAATAAAATAAAAATATCACAATGCTAGATTTAGTGTATCATACATAGCTATGGGCAGGATCTGCAAATTTATTTAATTTTTGATATTTCTGTAGAGAATGTTGTAATAAAAAATAAAAAAAATTTTAAAAATGTAAAATATCTGCCGACTTATGTAGAATAATTTTGGGAGTATAGTAAGTAAAAACATAAAACATGAAATAAATTTGTATATCTTTTAAACTTTTATTTAAGGTTTACAATGCAAATCCAATTACATCCACTTGTTTGGTAAACAAAGCGAGTCTCTCATATAATACATCTACAAAAAGACAGAAACGATTACTTTATTGTCCATTTGTATTGCAAATAAGTATTAGAAGCATTTGCATATAATTATAATACTACCGAAAGTAGATTAAAAGGTGAATAAATATGTATAGTAAATAGTAAATAAATAGACTCAATGGAAGGCTAATAAATTTGAATTTGTGTATGCACAGATTCCATGTGGACCTATAGTTAATAATATTGTTTTGACACAATTGTCTGTAAAAATATTTTTAACTCTCAAAATGCAAGTAGACTATTTTATGACTTTCCAAGGAACATGGTTTCATCTTAAAATTGTCTTAAATTTTCTGTAAAGAAAAAAAAGGTTAACCAAATATTGACCTAATGGTGACTTAAGTAAGAGCAAATTTTCATTTTGAAGTGAGCTATCAATTTAAGATCAGTAAAATCTGTAATAATCAGTGTTAATCTGATTTGTTGACGTTTATTACACAATTACATAGTCTCTTTCTAAAAAGTTAACATGACTGGTTTAGTTACTGTTCCTACAGGAATAACTTGGGTAATAGAGAATTCATCATAACTCTTGGGAATTCCTCTATCAAAAACATTTTTATAAAATAGCCTAATGTGTCTAAAATTTCTATTCACACCTGGATACAGACATTATAAAGGCTTAAATAAAGCGATACCAAAATAATATTTCCAACATGTTGTCTGTTTTTACCAGTTTGACAGCTGTCAAGTTTAGCTAACGTTACTTAGCCAGCTAACTTATTAACATCGAAAACAACAGTTAATTTGTAAAGTTAACGTTAATCTGTTTGCCTGATGTAACTATTTGCCCTAAACTATTTGCGCTTATTTCATTTACGTTGACAAAATGCACCATTCTTGGTTAAAAACAGTACAATTAAGTGTATGAAATAGGTTACCATCATCGCAGGCTAACTAAGCTTTAGGATGCTATTCTACGATCACAAGGCAAATACCTCGTGCCTCGCTAATACGGATGAAGTGGATATTTAACGTTTAAAAACAAGCACGTTGTTTCACCTACACCGTTAATGTTTTTGGAGATTCACACACATACACCGGGTGTATTGAGATTAGCCAACGGCTAACTCGCTAACACCTCCACTGCTAACGCTCGCATTTAAACAACACAAGATATGCTAACAGCAGCCTCTTTACCTCAGTGTTATACTTCAGCAAAAGTTTTTCAACCTTCTTGTCATCTCCACCGTCGATCTCTGACAGAATATCACTCAAACTCATCTCTGAATGATGCTTTTGCCGTCCACTTAGAAACACTGTCAGTCCTTCTGCACACAACAACAGTGAGTATGAGTTTCACTACACACCTCCTGTTCTCTCTTATCTCCTTAACTTTCACCCGTCAAACGTCACTGTTTTACGAGTCACTTCGGGACATGACAATAATACCTGGACGGAGGCCAAATTCTTAAGATCGAATAATAATTTTTAATGTGCATTTGGATTTTTATGGTAGCCCAACAACAAACCATCCACTGTACCAGCTGCACCTACTACAGGAGGGGTGAGGAGGTTTTGTAGCCGGTCAACCAGCAAATGACAAACTTGGACCATTATAAACCAGCTAGAAACCGGCTTCCATTGCGTGTGTAGTGATTTATCCTGATTGTCTCCTAATTTCACAACAAATATCTGGCTCATATGATTCATAGCCTACAGTTTTTTTTATGTTTGATTATGTTTTATTCTACCTAAAGTAGGACTACATTTTATAATACAAATCCTAATGTGATTATAGAGTCTTTGTTAAATACTTTTTGAAGTTAAATACCTTTTAACGGTGCATGGAGGGAAATTGTCAATGCTTAAAGTATATAGAGACATGCAAAAATGTAGCATTTATGCACAAATATGCAGATTTAGACATAGGATGTGCATTTGAAAAAATATAATTCTTTGGGATAATCTGATTTCAAATCTTCAAGTTGGTGTGCATGTAATGTCGGTCAGTACTTTATTGCTACTGTAAAACCCAATAAGTTAGGGTAACTCAAACCATTTTAAAAAAACGATTGCAACGATACATTCAATTGTATCGCATTAGTAATTTTTTTTTTTTTTTTTTTGTTTTTTTAGTACAGTTAGCGGTGGAGCCAGAGGCAATTGCAGATTAGGAAGGGACGTGGAGACTAAATAGTTGAGTTTTTAGTTGTTTCTTGAAGACAGCAAGGGACTCTGCTGTTTTGATGCAGTTAGGAAGTTCATTCTACCAACTGGGAAGATTTGGGAGTTCGGGAAAGTGATTTCTTCCCTCTTTGGGATGGAACCCTGAGGCGACGTTTATTCACAGAACGCAAGTTTCTGGAGGGCACATAAATCTGCAGAAGTGAGAGCAGATAAGAAGGAGCAAAGCCAGAGGTCGCTTTGTAAGCAAACATCAGAGCTTTGAATTTGATGCAAGCAGCAACTGGCAGCCAGTGCAAACGGATGAGTAGCAGAGTGACGTGCTCTTTTAGGTTCATTAAAGACCACTCGTGCTGCTGCGTTCTGAAGTAGCTTAAGAGGTTTGATAGAGTTAGCTGGAAGCCTGGCTAGTAGAGAGTTGCAATAGTCCAGTCTGAAGAGAACAAGAGCTTGAACAATGAGCTGCATGTTTAAAAAGGAAAGGGTCGGACCTTTCTGATGTTATAGAGTGCGAATCTACAGGATTGAGCAGTTCTAGAAATGTGGTCAGAGAAGTTTAGTTGGTCATCAATCGTTACTCCAAGGCTTTTCAACATTTTATATGCAGTAATGGTTGCCCCATCCATCTGGATTGAAAAGTTATGGTGTAGAGTCGAGTTGGCAGAAACTTCAAGCATTTCTGTTTTCGTGAGGTTCAGCTGAAGATGATGATCTTTCATCCAGTGTGAAATGTCTGACAGGCAGGCAGAGATGTGAGCTGGAACCGAGGGATCATCAGGATGAAAAGAGAGGTATAGCTGGGTATCATCAGCATAGCAGTGGTAGGAGAATCCATGTCTCTGGATGACTGGTCCTAGAGATGATGTGTAGATGGAGAAGAGAAGTGGCCCAAGAACAGAGCCCTGAGGTACCCCATTACCTTCAACGCGGAGTTCAAAACTCTTTTCAAATACGTAGAATTAACTTTCAGTAAAATTTGAGTTAACTACACTCATTTCATTTGATAAAGTTGACTGTTGGGTTTTACAGTGTGCATGAAATTCACAGACATGCCAAAATGTAGCATTTATGCACAAATATGCAGATTTAGACATAATATGTGCCTTTCAAAAATTGGGATAATCTGATTTCAAATCTTCAAGTTGGTGTGCATGTAATGTCTGTCAGTACTTTATTTCTACTGTAAAACCCAATAGGTTAAGGTAACTCAAACCATTTGAGGAAACCGTCAGCAACAATCCTTTTAAGTTCAAAAACTAATCCTAATGAGTACTGTGAACTTAATCCATTCGAGTAAATGAAACAACCTGAACACAGTAAAACCCAATAAATGAAGAGAACTCAAACTAGCTGAGTACTGTAAAATCAAGTTAAGGCAACTCAAACCGCCTAAGGATACGGATTGCTACAAATCATTTCAGTTAAAAATCTATTCTACGCAAGTACTGTGAACTTACTCCATTTAAGTTGAAGTTATGAGGTATTTAATTGACTTAGTACCTTCAACGCTGAGTTCAAAGCTCTTTTCAAATGAGTAGAATTCACTTTCAGTCAATTTTGAGTTAACTACACTCATTTCATTTGATAAAGTTGACTGATGAGCTTTGCAGTGTATGCAAGACAATAAAACTATTAATAATATGAGTTTAAAGTTTAAATTAAAAACATTTAATAATATTATTAATATATATTTAAAAGGGAAAACACACACACACAAAAAAGACAGTCCAACTGGGTTTTAAAAAATCTTTATGTGGCAACAAATAATCCCACATATATCATTTACATGGTAACTGCTGTCACCACAGAAGTTACTGAGTGCTTTTATTTACAAGAGAAAGTGACTAAAGATAATAAATGTTACATTTTCGTATTCTTTCCTTTTTATTCCTACCCATAGGGTAATAGGTCCACAGTACCTTTGAGTGCATTCAAAAAAACACACAAACCTAGGTTAACACTTTTCAGTTTCCTAAATCATACAAAACTGGATATACAGTTCAAACACAGATAAACAATGCAAAGGGTCACAATGTTACAGAGCTACAAGATCTCTAAAATTCTTCCAGCGTCGCCCCGGGGCAATTCTGCATTTGCGTAAAATGAGAAATCGCACTTTTACATTCGCATGCACCAAGGACTGACACAAGTGGCCCCATTTGTTTGCACTCCTATGACTTTAGCAATCTGGCAGCCAACAGGCCGTTCAGAGAAGAAATTATTAAGGCATTTCTTCCTGGTGCTGAAATCATGCAAACCAGAAAAGCAGCACACTTTGATGTTGACAGGAATTGAAAGAAGAACAAAAAAAAACAGTGGTGTCGTTAGCAGATCATTGTTTGACGTCAAACTCTCAGCCTGTGGTAAAACAACACCACAAGATGCGTATGTTTTTACATTATGTGCATTGAGAGAGAAATTATAAACATGTGGAGAAAGGCACACCTGGGACACTTCCTTTTAGGTGGGATATTTTAAAACAGAAAAATGTTTAACCCTTTATATCACAGGTGTCAAATTCAGTTCCTGAAGGGCCTCAGCTTTGCACAGTTTAACCCTAATTTAACACACCTGATTAAACTACTTGAGTCCTTCATGCTTGTTTGAAACCTACAGGTTAGTGTGTTTAATTAGGGTTGGAACTAAACTGTACAGAGCTGGGGCCCTCCAGGACTGGATTTGACATCTGTGCTGTATATCATTGAAATATGCAGTGCTACTGTAGTGTTACTGGCGGTTATTACAAAACTTTATGCTTAAATTATATTTGAATCAATGTCAAAGTTACTATGTATGGTTATTCACACTGATAAAGGCTTAATGTGGCTTCAAGAATTCGAAAACTTGATTAAAATATATATATGCAGTGCTCAGCACATATAAGTCTATACCCCTCACAAATCTATCTGTTAAATTCATATTTTAATAGGAAGCTACACAATATTTTATTTGTGCATATACATTACATTAGTCAGTACTGAAGCCAAATCTGGAGCTTATCTAACAATATAACTTACAATAACGGTTCAAAAACTAGTACACCCAAATTTATATGTTATAGAAATTTTTTTTTAAATATAGTCAAAAAAATTCGTTGAAATTTAGTTGGCTGTAATTTTTTTGTAGTATTTTGCTTGAACTTAATTGTATGATTTTTCAATTTCTGAATATGTTTGATGACTAAAATATTATTTTAATAAGTATATCGGTTTAATTAATCTGTTTTGTTTAAATGCACCAAAATACATTGCCTATATTCACTGAAAAGTGGATAAAATATTCATTTTCAAAATGGGGTGTTCTCAAAAATATGCTGAGCACTGTATATAAGACCAAATTAAGTATACAGATTGTTACAAATATTTGAAGAAAATGGACCCAGAATATGAACACAGCATTCAAACTGCATGCTAAACATGTATTGCACGTTTCCTCCATAGAAAGCCTTTAAAAACATGGCTTAATGCAGGAAAAAGGGCTATTAGAGGACCAAATTCAGAATCAAGTATATAAATATTTTAAAAAATGACTTTCTTAATGCAATAATCCACATTAAGTGCTTCTTTTTCCAATATATTTGCCTTAGGTGAGGAAAACACTTTAGGTTTTTGCATATTTATTCTGGGTTCATCTGCTTGTCTATACATCAAATATATTTCTATAAAGTGTATACCAAATTTGGTCTTATATAGTTGAAATCAGAATCACTAACCCCCCTTTGAATTTTTTTTCTTTGTCAATAATTCCCAAATGATGTTTATCAGAGCAAGGGAAATTTTCACAGTATGTCTAATAATAATTTTTCTTCTGTAGAAAGTCTTATTTGTTTTTTTTCGGCTAGAATAAAAGCAGTTTTTAATTTTTAAAACCATTTTAAGGTCAAAATTATTTTTTCCGATAGTCTACAGAACAAACCATCGTTATAAAATAACTGGCCTAATTACCCTATCCTGCCTAGTTAACCTAATTAACCTAGTTAAGCCTTTAAATGTCACTTTTAGCTGTATAGAAGTGTCTTTAAAAATATCTAGTCAAATATTATGTACTGTGTTCATGGCAAAGATAAAATAAATCAGTTATTTTAAATGAGTTATTAAAACTATTATGTTTAGAAATGTGTTAAAAAAGTATTCTCTCCGTTAAACAGAAGTTGGAGGAAAAAATAAACAGGGCGACTAATAATTCTGAC